AACTATTTAACTTTTTCATAATATTAGTGTGACGGACCAGAATGAAACAATCAAATTCATTTAGTCCTCTTGGTATGTTGGGCAATAACTAGCCTATTGTACCAGCCCTGGATGATAGATAATGAGTGTGGAGCAGTTGGTGGAATGAAAATTGGCATGGGAAACCGAAGTACTTGGAGAAAACCTGCCGCAGTGCCAATTTGTCCACCACAAATCCCACGTGACCTGACCCAGGCTCGAACCCAGGCCTCCACAGTGGGAACAACAGATACTTAGTATCTGTTGTTTTATCTCGTGATATTCCCATGTTTCACAGCAGCACAAAATGAGTCATATTATGATCCACTGTGTTTGCTTTTAAGGAAATTAAGGAAAGGAATTTTACACAGTAAAGTTCCATCTCCTGAGATGTAATGCCATGCAGGCCACTGAAAGTAAGCGTATATTTTGGAGGAACATGTCACCTTCATCTTTAAGGTCAAAGAGTAAACCACTCAAGAAGCCAGCATGGAACAGGTTGCAAGCAGAGCAGTCTGCTTGTCGAAAATTCGGATGTATAGAGGAAACAGGAGAGAACTGCAGGATAACTTGTCAGGTCTCATTCACTGTCTCTGAGAGTAGGTGAACCAATAGGAGACAAGACAAAGATAGCTGAGGATGGCGTTTTTTGCAGATCTGCAATCCGACTTTCAATGGACCGTGGAGTGTTATATCCCAGAGGATAGAACCACCGCTGTGGGAACCTCAAATCCTACAAGTCTTATACAGTTTTGAAGTGTCTAACAATCTGTAGTGATATAATAAGTGAACAAATATTTCTGGGAAGTACTAATAGACTATGTGGGATTTGAGGTTCTCACAGCAGTGGTTATGAAGAGTACTGTCTTCTGGGATATAGGGCCATGTAATCTGTTGAAAGTCAGCCTATGTTTTATTTCTTGGCTTGGCCCTGGAGATGGAGATGATAATGTAATGTGTTTGGAGTAGATACTTCCATGGCAACGCAATAACAGTGGGCCGCTGCGTAGACAATGCCGAAACAACGAACGTGTTTCCCCGGAGATGAACAACAGAAGGCTGTTGAGTACCAACGGATGAGACGAAATACGTTACTGCTGTAAACTATAGAGATCGTTCCCGAAGTAACGGATTGCTGAACAAGTGAGATCGAACCTTGGCGAATGGTGTCTCGTATCTGGTCCGTGTGACACCTACATAAGTCGAAAGCACAGAGCTAATTAGCCTTCATACAGCACAGGTGTAACCTAGTCGCCAGAAGCCACGTGATACCACAGGCGATAATAACTGTATGGTGTGTAAGAGTGAATGTCCAATAAAGATTCGCTGAATCCAAGACCCACGTGAATTTATTTGTCGCGTGACATACCCAACATGTGACAATATGTTCCTCCAAACATTAATAGAATTTCCATGGACTGCACGGCATTACATCCCAGAAGATAGTACTCTTCAACTAACTGTCTACTTTTCTTTCACAATGAATTGAGTATTTGATATTATACATGATGTAAAACTTTATTATGTATACATAGGTAAGTCAATCAAAAATAATATAAACCAAATATTTATAGAAGCATAGCACAGCAGTAAGTTGCTGCTGTGTCTCACCAGCACAGCCATTCTTGGCTCAATGTCCCTCAGGACTCATAACCATATTTTACTGTTTCACAACTCTGGGATCGTTGGTTCAGGTCGGGTAAATTGCTGCTGGCATTCAGAACGGACCCGTAGAAGACACTGCATCCAGCAGTTCTGCTATTGTTATGTGTGTATTCGTTGCCATGGGAACTTGTATACTAAGCTGTTGTCTAGCACTGTTCATCTCTTATTGATCCACTGTTTCAGTTTTCAGGCATCATGTCACTGATCCCTCCTTAAGGCTGTTTAGCAATTTGAGAGGCTGTCATGTTGGATTACTGATGGGAGGTATTTATGAATTATGCTCTTGAGGAGGGGTCAGGTGCCATGATGTACATACCAAGTTCCTTGAAGATGTGTTCAGGCATCCAAAAGTTACTGGGGGGGGGGGCGACATACTTACAGACAGCAGGGTGCTCTCATATGTCTACTTTTATTTTTAGCCTGCTTTCCTCTTCTTAACAAACTGAGCTTGGCCTTAGCACAGACTGCATAGAAAACACTGCATCCAACAGTTCTTTTATTGTGTGTTTATACATTGCTGCAGGAATGTGTTTACGGAGCCTTACGCAGTAACGGCTATCTCTTATAGCTCTACTATTCTGGCTTTTGGGTGTCATTTCATGTTGTTCCCTCCTTAAGGCTGCTCAGCAATTTGAGAGGCTGGAATGTTGGTAATTACTGATGGGTGATATATATGAATTCTATATTTGAAATGGCTCTGGTGCCATGAGATGCTTACCAAGTTTCATATGGCTTGGTTTAGGGAGTCAGAAGCTGTGGGGTAGGAGGTGTAGACATGCAGACACTAACAGCAGGGTAATCTCCTAAGCATACTTTTATTGTTTTTTTCAAAGTAATGAAAGTGGGCTAAAAATACAAGTTTCTATTCATAAAATTTTCACTCAGTTGTTTTCCACACAAAACACTGCAGTGTTTGAAAGTGAATTGAAATGAAAGGAGGCAGCATGTGTCTCCTTTAAAGGAGTTTCTATATTGTCACGTGATTGAGCGACTATAGGCTCATTTTGGGTTGAGGGTTCAGTTTATTACACACTTATACAACTCGTTACTGCACTTTACGAATCACACACAGACTAGTGTTCTCAGTCCGTTACAGTCTCTACTACCTTTTACTTGGTAGCAGCTCTCAACAGTGAATGTTCCCCTTCCTCTGGGTTCCTGAACTATTTCCAGCCTCAGACACCAGCTTCTCACAGAAACAGCTCAAAACTGAACCACAGCAGTTCTCTCACCCCCTCAGTGACTACCAACTCACTCCACTCCACTGACTGACTACTCACTAACTGTCATGCCCATAACACCTTGGCACAGAGGACACAGACAGCATTGTTCCTCTGTTGCTGTTTATGGGCTGTTGCCTAATAATGGGCCTTGTGTAGTTGTTTTTTTTCATGGTCATTGCCTGTCAACAGGTTCACGTACCATAATATTTTAATTAACTGTATGACCAGAAACCCTCAGTGTCAGTTCCTATAGGTAGGACACTAGCTGAGACCCAATGCGGTCTAGATGTTTACTGACATTCAGCAGGAACGTGCTTTCTCCATCTTCAGGATAGAAGATGGTACAGATATGGAGAGACAGATATTTTGGCCACACCTTTACTCTTGTTGGTTTGCTCAGGGCTCCTCTCGCAGCCATCCCTTTCACAATGTCCATACCACTTTACATGTTCAGCCTTCTTTTCTGAATGTGGAGGCAGCACAACCTCCAGAACACTTGTAAACATTTGCCAGATTACCCGGTGTCACATGCCAGAAGACAGTTGTCTTCGTAATCACCACTATGAGAACCTGCGAGGGAGAGTCAGTAAATAGGTCACAAATGGAAGTTAAAAAACCTCCGTGGCCTGCAGTCCACAAGCAAAGTATACCGACCTAGCGACCGCTGGTTGTCTGCGAAGTTAGTGCCAACTTTTGTGGATAAAGGGTGTCACGTGGTGAGTGCAGTGGATCCTCATGGCTGTTAATCTCGGTTTTCTAGACCGGAGCCGCTATTTCCTTGAGATAGGTCCTCAGTTATCCTCATGAGGCTGAGTGGACCACGTTCCAGACCCACTACTTCTCAGAAAATCTGGTAACAGCGGGAATCGAACCCGGGACCTCTGGATATGTAGCCAGGAACTCTGACCACAAGACCACAGAAGTGGTCAAATGGAAATAAAGCAGCTGTAATAGACATATTAGGTTTGCTGTGTGTATCACTAGGTAGCAGGACAGTCCAGCTTCATAATAGTCTAGGTAGCAGATGTGTATGCCCATGTTCAGCGGCTCGTGTCACTAGGCAAAATGGTCACCGTGTTTGAGGAGTGTACTACTAAAGAACAAAATTCTGTTGCGTGTTTTTATGGGCAGAAGGACTCACTGCAAAAGATATTCATAAAGAAATGTTTCCTGTTTGTGGTGGGAAGTGTTTGTCACATAAAGCAGTTCAGCCTTGGTGTAAAGCATTTCACTGTTGATGAAGAGGATGAACTGGAGAAGCAGAAGTGGCTCGGACAACAGTGAAAATACTTATGTGCTGCAGGGTTTCAACGCACTGGTAGAGCAATGGTCCAAGTTTATCAATGTTTGTGTAGGATATGTCAAGAAATAATTGTTTTTCCCAGGTTCGAATATCACGTTTTATGTTTTATATCCATTTGTAACCTGTTCACTGAACCCTGTAAAATCTGTGATATACTTGTTCAGTTGTCAATGAAAAGCACCTTTCAACTTCTGACATTTCATTGTGTATTTTTCAATGAAAGAGGCGGTGAAACCTATGGTGTAGGAGCTGGGATAACTCAGTCAGTATAGCAGCTAGGTACAAGCTGGACTGCCTGTGAATTGAGGTTCGATTCTTGGCAGAGGCAAGAGGTTTTCCTCTCTTCCATGGAATCCAGATTGGCTCAGCATCCCACCCTGCCTCCTGTTCAGCAGTTACCAATGTCCCTTTCCTCCTGGGGTAAAGGGGCAAGGGTGGAAGCTGTCCAGTCACCTTCATCTAATGCCAAGGTTAAGAATGTGTGGAGCTTCCCTCTACTCTCTCATAAATCTTCATGGCAATATGCTTAATTAATTCAGCATAGGGGAAATTTTCATCTTACCTAATGTGTAACAGATTTTTTTAGTTAAATGGTTTTGAATTATGTGACCACTCTTGGAAACAGCTGTTGCAGAGGTCAGGCCATACCTGTATACGATAAACATTCATTTGAAATTTGAGTGTGGTGATCTTGTTGCTTACAAAAAGCAGTTTGATTAAATTCCTTGAATAAAGAGGGCATGAGTATTTTAGTTATAAGCTGCTGTATTTATGTATTTTTATGTGGACAGCCAATGATGTCGACACTGGGTTGACCCCCGTGACTGAACACCGCAGTGAGCTGCGGTGGTGAGGTCAGCAATAGGATGGAGCCATTTGTGACTCGTATTGGAGACGTCACTATCGAGCGGGTTGTGCCCAAGTCTGGGCCTGGAAGTGGAGGAGGAACAGTTGGTAAAGAAACCAAAGAATCTGTACCTCCACCATCAGTCAGCTTGGCTAAGAGGGATGTGGATGGCAGTGATGCCATCAGTGTCAGTGAGGACCTCCAGGTTAGTACCATCAGCATAGCAGCTTTAAATGCAAAACTGGAATTTGTTTTTCTTACTCTTACCGTGGAATTTAGAAGTGCTTATGTGAATGTGAAGCTGCTCACAGTGGCTGCAGGGTCTAAGGCATGAACTGTCTTCACCTGCTCAGACACTGGGATCATGGGTTCAAATCCCACTGGAGGTATGGATGTCTGTGTGCATTTTTCTGTGTTTTTGTTGTTCTGTGTGTAGGTAGTGGCCTTGCAATGGGCTGATCACCTGTCCAAGGAGTCCCACTGACTGTGTAAAATAATATCATGTGTAAGGTACATGTGACTAGAATGGCGGGTTCTAGTTCAGATGATTGGATTTATTAGCACTTCGGTTACACACTCTTTCTTGATTACACATAAATACAGGCAATACAGCACTATCACTGATTTACACACTTTCCAGTCCACCGATGCACACGCACTAGGATTCTCAGTTTCCACTGGTCGTCTCCTAACAACAGATCTCAACAGAGAAACTCTCACTTCAAATCACTATGAAGTCTTCTTGTTATTTTGTCTTCAATCACTCTGCGCTCTATAATAATCTGTACTCAGTCTTCACAATTCACACTCCATTCTTGTCCTTGAACCGTCCTGGAATATCCACTTTGCTTCATTCGCATGATTCTGCCGCTACTGTTTCTCTCTACAACAAACTCAACTGAACTGGGTGGGTGGGTGGATGGGTGGATATGTGAATTACATTAATGTTAAATGTCAAGCTTCCAGGAGGTTTAAAACAGTCTCTCCTGTTGTTCCTCTTTCAGTATGTCAGAATGCTCTTGCAATATTATGAAGTATATTATTTACTGGTGATTATTCGTCTTTTTGCATTTTGCTTCCCACTGGTCGTTTTGTCAAGAAGCCCTATTCCACAAAAACTGCAGAACACAGGATGCTGAAATTATCCAAGAATACCGTTCTCTTTGGAATCTATGAGTACAGGCTCCTCAACTTTCAGTGAAATCCAAGAAGCTCGGATTTTTGACTGTGGTGACTTGGCATGGAATGAATCACTTATAACACAATGAAGTGTATTCTTTACAAGTCTAAAATTGGTGTGGGTTGAAGAGTACAGGATTATGGGTTGTAGCATCATGCTCTTCAGTGATGGCCTGATGTTTTGCAGAAACACATTGCCTCCATCTTTGGGGTTGAAGAGTAAGCTAAGCTGAGCTTGCCACCGCCTTGTGCTGGTTTATGGTGTGGCGTACTCTTCAACCGTGAAGGTGGAGGCGGTATGTTCCTCTGACATGTTGGGCTGTCTGTAAACTGCACAGTGTCACAGCCAACTTGATAGTACTGTTCAGTACACAGTGACATTGCCAGTTTCATTACCCTGGGTGCAGCATTGTTTAAGTGTTTAATTCAACAATAAAATTAATGCCATTGTCATTATATGTGCTGGATATAATGTTCGCAGATATTTCTGAAGCCTCCGTTATCCGTCGCGGAGAAGGGCGCCACTGGTGGATCGAAGCATGATGGTCGGAAGTCACGAGACTCCAGTGTTGGTGGCAGTAGGGAAACATCTCTTGGCAGAGGAGAAGATAGGACTGCCAACAGTGGTACTGACGAGTCAGATGCCTCAGAAAGTGATGACAACGAAGACCGCCACAGTGAAATCATGGATGAGGTTTGTGACATTTAACATTCTTATGGCAGTGACTGTGAAGGTATTGTGTCCAGGGATATGGCATCTTGTGGTCTGATGTTTACTGAAGTTTTGGAGGGAAGGACATAGACTGAAGGTGTTTCAGAGTTTGGTGCAGAAGTGAATATTTGGACCTAAGAGGAAGGACGTGACAGGAGGCTGGAGAAAATTGCATAATGAGGAACTTTATAATTTGTACTTTGTCCAGAATACTATTAGAGTAATGAAAGCAAAGAGAATGAGATGGGTGAGGCTTGTAACATGAGTGGAAGAGAGGAGAAATCCATACAAAGTTTTGGTGAGGAAACTGGAATGATAGACACACTGGTAAATAGTATTGTATTTCACAATCCTGTTGCATTGATGTATCACTCATTCACTCGTTTCCATCTCTAATGCATCACAAACCATTCACAGTCTCTCCTTTGCTTTAAAATTTCAGTAAACTCACGTTTTAATTGCTTGAAGATGGCTTTGTAGGCCTAAATATGTTGCAGTTAAATGGATTTTAATGACATTTAAAATAGAGGAGATACTATGAACAGTTTGTGTTTCATTAAAATCACATTTTAATTGCCTGAAGATGGCCCTGTAAGGCCGAAACATGTTGCAGTTAAATGTGATTTTAAAATAAAGGAAAGACAGCGGTTTGTGTTGCATTAGAGACAGAAATGAATGAACGAATGAGACACTTGGAAGACTAGGCCTTGATGGGAGGATAATATTAAAATGGATTGTAAAGAAATGGGATGGAAGATGTGGAATGGATTAATCTGGATTGGGATAGGGACCAGTGGCAGGGTGTTATGGACACAATAATGAAATTTCAGTCTCTGCAAAGTGCCGGTATTTTCTTAATAAGCCAAGCAACTCTAACTTCTTAAAAAGGCCTGTCCTCCATTTTCTTAGCAAGTTGTACCCACCTAGCAGACTACATGGTGTTGTAACCCAGAAAACCACAATATGAATCTCTGCTACCATGAAACCTCAAATCTTGTGATGTCGATATTCATCTTTATCTGTATTCCTGGATCTGCACTCCATTAAGCATTATTTTTTGTAAACAAGACCTAAAAGTTTGTGACAGTGGTATATTAATACGTACAACTGTTGTGCTTCTGGACATTTATTTAAAATACCATCCTGTTTTTATTTAAAACATAGCATTTTGGAGACTGGATTTTGTCTCCATCTTCAGGTGGAACCTACTCAGTTGGGCCCAGTTGATAGAGCTAGTTGCCAACCACAGCGCAAATCATCTGCAAGTGTTAAGACATTAAAAACATTAAAAAAACTCCACACACCTGAGGCCTAGCACCAGAGTACTATTAGAATAGATGTCATCGCAAGAGATAAATTCTTTGTATGGTACCAATATAAAAAAACACAATTTTCCCTCTTAATCTACAATGGATGGTGGGGTTTTTTCTCCTTCTTCTTATTCTCCTGCAGTAATGGGAGTCAAGATGGGAGAGGTGTCCAAGCTGGATTGCCTGATCGGATGATCTATCAGAGGCATGTGGGCAGATTTTTTGTATTTTCTGTATGTGGTGTTAGGCTCAATCTGAAGGACCTTTGCTTCATTCCAACATATTTTGCGTCCTTCCATTCACGCATGTTGGGCTAATTTTAATTTTTCAAGCAGACTTTGTGTCGGGTTTTATTTATGCTCCTTAATCACTCACTCATGGAGCTCAGCCCCTCTTGAGAAGCTGCCAGTTGTGCAGCCACCCAAATTCGCAGCATCTTACAGAACCCAAAGGTTCATTACCGTGTTCACAAGAGCACTCCACGGGTCCCAATCCTGAGCCAGATCAATCCAATCCATACCATTCCATCCTGTCTCTCCAAGATCAGTACAAGTTATGAAGCTCCTCATTATGCAGTTTTGTCCAGCCTCCTGTCACTTCATCACTCTTAGGTCCAAATATTCTCCTCAACACCCTCAGTCTATGTTCCTCCATTAAAGTTAGAGATCAAGTTTCACACCCATACAGAATCACAGGCAAAATTGTAGTTTTTTATATTCTAATTTTTATGTTTTTAGACAGAAGACAAGAAAACAGAAGATTTTGGACTGAATGGTAGCAAGCATTACCCAAGTTCAGTCTCCTCTTAATTTTCTCCTGAATCAGGCTTTTGATTTGTTATTGTTGTTCCCAAATATCTGAACTGTGCCACATTTTCAAAACATCTGCTACCTATTGTTATATGCTCCTTAATACATGCTTCTAAAGGTCTGCTTGTTTTTTCATTAAGCAGCATAAATATAACCTGACCCAGGGTGTGCTTCAAAAATCAAAATTAACCCACCATGTATGTGCAGAAGGTCACAAAATATGTTGATATGAAGTGAAGGTCTTGCAGATTGAGCCAAGCACCACATACAGGAAATGCAAAGAATCAGCCCACATGTCCCTGCTGGACCATTCAGTCAACCCAGCTCAGACATCTGTTCCATCTGGAACATTATTGCAACAGAAGTAAAAAAACTACAACTACATCCAGTGTAGATTAAGCAGGAAAATTGTGCTTTTCGTGTTGGTAACGTACAGAGAATTAATCTCCCTTNGCTGGACCATTCAGTCAACCCAGCTCAGACATCTGTTCCATCTGGACTCCCATTATTGCAACAGAAGTAAAAAAACTACAGCTACATCCAGTGTAGATTAAGCAGGAAAATTGTGTTTTTCGTGTTGGTAACGTACAGAGAATTAATCTCCCTAATGATATCTATTCTGGTATTACTCTAGTGCTAGTCCTCATATGTGTGGAGTTTTTTTAATATTTTTATTAACTGTAACAGATGGTTTGTGCTGTGCTTGGCTTGTGTATCCTATCTTATGCTGGAGTGGGGACTAGCTATATCGATTGGGCCCAAATGAGTAGGTTCCACCTGAAGATGGAAACAGAATCCAGTCTCCAAAACCTTGTGTTTTAAATAAAAACAAGATAATGGATAATGTCCAGAAACAAGATAGTTGTATTGTTTTTGTCATCTGCTTTTAATTCCCATAAAGACACTCAGTGTACATTTAATATTTATACAATTACAGATTAATAAAATGCTATGTAAGATTTGAGGTTTTCATGGTGGTGACTATGAAGAGAGCAGTCTTCTGGGATGTGGCACTCACGCTAGTTCGTTATTCGCCGATTTTTCTACCCTGAAGAGTGAGGCAATACATTGTCCCAAAATGTTGGTTCACACAAGATCTGCACAGTGCCACATCCCAGGAGACGGCTTTCCTAACAAAATACTGATTTTGGGTTTGCTTGACAATTCAGCAGTGATTCACCATGTGGAGGACTTAGAGCTCTGGTGAGAAGTATATTTCTGTATTGCATATCCATGACCTTGTCCTTACCACAAATGTTTTAGGCATTAAAATGAAGGCTTCGTGTTCATCTGAAACATTGGTGGAGCAGACCGCTTGCACGTGGCACTGTCATCATAAAACATAAATTAGTAAAGCATTGCCATAGCTGATCACATTTTTCCTTTTGTGATTTAGGAGGATGAGATGTTATTACCTCAAGCAGTGGATAAAATGGACACCAGTGACTTTCAGCAGCATAATAAAAGTGACGAACAAAGTGAGGTGATGTCAGATAACAAAATGACAGCGAGTAGCATAGTCGAGTCGCATGGTCAGACTGCATTGCAGAACAGTATTGAAACGGGTGCTGTTTCTCTAGAGCCAGTGAGGACAGAACAGGACAAGACACATGCGGATGGTGTGGGGGGAGGAAATAGTGCAAGTGATGGAAAGAAAATCATGGAAGAGGGAAAAGGGAAGACAGAGGAAGATGGCGAAAGGGGAACTGCCGGCTCGGACACAAATAAACGGAAAGCTCAGCAGGACAGTGGTGTAATTCACAAGAAGAAAAAGACTAGTTTATCAGGTGAGATTTTGTTAATTGAAATTTCTCCCATTGCACGTGTAAGCCCCCCCCACGTAAATGCAGGAATCTCATTACTGAAGTGTACTTTGTTTTGGGATGCAATGCTGTATAGTCCAGTAGAAGTTATTTATGAGTAAGTCAAGCAAACAACTCATCAGCCCTGATAGTAGAGACTGTACAGCCCTCAGAAATGTAAGTGAACATTTACCAGACTGAATGGCATCGCACCTGTGAACGTACTACACATCATAGTTGCAGTAAGAACCCCAGATCCTCATTATTGAAATGTGTTGGTGTGTTCTTAGTCTTGAATTTCGTAGTTGCATGTTGGCTGTTCCTTTAGCCTGAATGTCATGTGCCATTTGATATGTCAGGATTGTCATGAATTAAGTTGGCAAGGTCACATTGTGGTCTTGTGGTTGATAACAACATATAGTTGAGTGGGAAGCACTGCTGTTCCCTCGAAAGAGAGCCATCATAAAGGACTACACAATGCTGTGACCCAGAAGACAACAGAATGACATTCTCCACTGTAAAGAACTTCAGTCTAAAGTGACAAGGTTTCTCATGCCCTTCATCCCTCCTCACTGGTTTCAACATCATACCAACAAACTGCCTCAGAGTTTTTCTTTTCATCATATTGCCTTTGGTCAGTTTTATGTCATCTGTACCATTCTCTATTCATATATTTTGTCTTCTGTATTGGCCCCCTTTTCATGATTAATATGTACCAGTTTGTCCTCACATTCACCATGTATACAGAGATTTGCAACAGTGGCAAGTATCTTTAGAAGCTGACATACCTCTAAGCTGCCCCCCCCCCCACACACACACACACGTATGCATGCACACAATATGTGATCATTGAAAATATAATATGGTGATATGCTCATCATACCAAAGAAGGCACTTAAGAAAACTTTTGCAGTTTACTTGTATTCACACAAATGGGAACAATTTTGTGCTCTGTTATAATTTATTGTGATGGCCAGCATGCTGTTGCCCAAACCGGGGGTCCTCAGTGATACTGTTAAACATTAATCTTGTTGCTTTCCATATGTGCTGAAGGTGTTCCAGTCAGCTATGATTTCACTGTAACTTGGGCACAGTTTGTAACATGCAGCTGGCTTCCCTGGTTAGGGTGAATTGGTAGGAACATTCCTTATGTCATAGCTTTCCTGGCACGGTAAAATTTTTGTTTATTACTCCCATGAATATACATGTGTGTGCTCAGTGTAGTAAAAGTTCCAGAATCTGCACATCCATATTTTCATTTCGTACAAGTACTTTTACTTGTCATCAGTTTCCATTAACTTGCCTAAAGTGAGTGGGCTAGCATGATTCTGGAGCCCTGGGTGCATGAGCATGTGTAAATCACAGTGAGACTCACAGTTGTCTCTGTAGTCAGCCATTGTGAATTCTAGATATCTTCTGCATGAACTTTTTAGAATGTAAGATTGTTTCCCTACAGTCTCTTATGTTGCGTTATTATGGTCTTCCAGGTGTGACATTATGTAATCTGTTAGATTGGTACCAGTGTTTTGGAGGAACATGCTGTCTGTATTTTCAGTGTATGAGATGGTGGCTGTATGTTCCCCTGAAATATCGGTATCACCCTAGCAGAATATGTGGTGTCATAACTCAGAAGACCAAAATGTGAATCTTTACAACCATGTAAGTTTAACTTTCCTGTCACACTGAGCAAATTCTGTGTAATTTCTGAGAGTCATCCTTTATCCAGAGTTGGAGTTTTGTTCCTTTCAAGAGAAATGGCAAGAATTGGAGACTTGTTTCTTTTCATCATGATTTTTTAAAACATAAATTTATTTTTGCCTGGAATGACTGAATGTATAGTGTACGTATGTAACAGACGTAACTGTATAAAGGTCTATGATGGTTTGTAATTAAACTAACACATATGTTGAACATTTTAATTTCTCTCATGGTTAAAGAAACAACATTTTAGAAACTAACTTCCATTATTGGGTAAGCATATGGGACGCACTCTACTAGTTTCAGTGGATGGAGCTAATCTCTTTATCGCAGGGATTGCACATTTCGTTGAGCACAGATATATTGAGTTCGGACCATTGCCAGGTGGCAGTTTAAACTCCAGGCCCAGTGATGCCAACATTATAGCAGAGTTGTACTCTGTAGTTACTTGGTTCTCTTGTTCTTGTAATAGAGCCTTCAGGTGGCACCTCCATCAACATTCCTGTGAGCTTGTGCCAGCTGACCAGGAGTGGAAACATACCAAGTATTTTATATACATAGATATACAGTGGAATCTCCTTTTAATATTCCTTCATTTATGTTTTCCCTCATTTAACATCAGTTGCAACAACACGTCCAGCTCATGGTAGCATCCTGCAATTTATTGTCCTAACTGTGGCAGGTGCCAAGTGACAAAGATCCTCAGTTTGTAATATCTGAAACTGTTCTTTTCTTCTCTCTTACTAAGAATCTGAATGTCTTCCTGAGGACTTTGTTTTGAGACACCCCATAATTTAGAGTAGAGCCAGGATAGCGCAGTCAGTATAGCGACTGGCTATGGGCTGGATGACCGAGGCGTTGGAGTTCGAGCCCCAGTATGGTCAAGAATTTTGTCTTCTCCATGTCATCCGCAGTGGTTCTGAGGCCCACCCAGCCTCTTATCCAGCGGGTACCATGAGTTCTTTCCCGGGGTGTAAAGTGGCCGGGATCTGAAGCTGACCATTCACCTCCACCTAGTGCTGGGGCCAAGAAAACATGGGTCTATACCTCCACTCTCCAGTACATCTACATGGCATAGTGCTTAACTAGTTAAGCAAAGGAAGAACTTTTGACTGGCTATTGTGTGGACAACCAGGGGGTTGTAGTTTGAGTCCCAGTGGGGGCAAGAATTTCCACTTCTCCATGTCATCCAGACCAGCTCTGGAGCCCACTCAGCCTCCTATCCAATCGGTACTGGGTGCTTTTTCCTCGGGGGTAATGCGGCCGGGGCGTGAAACTGACCACTCACCTCAAACTGGTGCCAAGGTCAAGAAAACGTGGTTCCATACATCCACTCCCCCATACATCTTCATGGCATAGTTCTTAGTTAAGTGCAAGGATGACTTTACCTTTTACCAGGTACAACTTTACCTTTACCTTACCTTGTCTCATTTAACATTCAACTTTGATGATCCCAAATCATTAATCTCATTGTTAAATTTCATCCATTTTCCTCACATTAGTGTTCAGGTTCATTGGTTGTCAGAAAAACGTTAATTGGGTTTCACTGTTTCAGACTTTCCCGTGCATTGCAGTGGCAGGCTAGGGTGTCAAAGAAACCCTAAAATAGGAAACAAATTCTGTTTCTTGCTTTCAGGCAAAGATGGTAAAGACAAAGGTGGATCGTCATCTTCTGATTCAGAAGACAGTAAGGAGGATAGTAAATCTAATTTAATGGAGCGAAAATTATCCAACATGAGACGTAACATTCGCGAGGTGATGAGTGAGAACCAGTTGGATGAAGAAACCCTGGCTGCTCAAAGGCAGGAAATGGAGCGACTCAGGAGGGTCCAGGAACAGCAGCGGATCATACGAGAGGTTGTTCACATTTATTTACTTATTTATGCTGTTGAAGAGGTACCAGTTATCTCTCTAAACAGTGCAGTAGTAACTTATAAATAATTGATCTTCCTTCATTTGTACTAAATCTGTCAACAATAAACTTTTAAGTATTTGTAATTTTTTGTGCAAAATGAAATTTTATATCGACATAAAAATTAGCATAATTATAACATCAGAATTATGAAATCAGCAGATTTTTACCATATAGTTATTTAGGTATGTCATTTTACAATTTTTTTTTATAGTGGTATTAAATGTATGTTTCCCATGCTTTGGTGTCTCAGAAAATTAAACTTTTATTTTATATTGAAAGTTTTATTTTAAAAAGTGTGTAATGATTTTAGATGTATGCAAGAACCATTGCCAGCTCTTGATGTATACAGTATTGTTCTTCAGCTACAGTGGCTGCACTCATCTTCTGTATAGGATTATTTATAAAAATAAAAATTTATTTTACTCCTGTGTTGTTTTTAAACAGGTGCAGCGCCAAATTGCACTCAATCGACAGAACAACAAGACGCAAACTCGAGTTATTTCTCTCCTCCAAGGCAATTCCTCATTGCTAAAACAGATCCCGAGTACATCGAGTTCAGGATCAAGTGGCAGTACACAAGTGCGCCTGCCTAATACAGTCCTTGTTAAGTTGGCATCTGGTTCTGGACAGGGCGCAGGAAGTGGAGTACAAACTAATAAGAAGGTTTGTAACTAAGTTATGGTTATGTAATGCTCCTCCGAAGAAGTTCGAACCCCCAAGAGGCACTTGCTGAAACAAGAAGTCACATTTAGTTTCTGAAGGGTTCTGACAATGGTGTATAACACTCAGAATTGCTGGGTTTTGGACTTTTTCCATTGTCTGGTATTCTAGAGACTAGAAAATACGACATTTCAGAAACTGGATCTGTTTCTGTCCTCAGGTGAGGGGGAAGACACCCACTCAGGTGGGTCCCTTAGAAAGAGCTAACCTCAATCACTGGACAACCCTTGCATTGGTGCTTATGCACTTAGTTTTGTTGGCAAGGTTTGTAGCACAAGTTTCTATCTCCTTTTCTATCCTAGTTCCACACTGGTGCATGCTCTATGAGAATTTGTATTGCATATTTTCTTGTTATATCCCACCAAATTAAGCTGGTGTTAGGAGATTAAATAGCTGTGTGAATCTTGACAGGGGTTGTCCAGTGATCAAGGTTAGCTCTTTCTAAGGGACCCAACTGAGTAGGTGTTTCCCCCCTCACCTGAAGATGGAAACAGATCCAGTTTCCGAAACGTCATGTGTTCAAGTCTCTATAATACTGGACCAAAAACCCAGTAATTCTAAGAAGTCACATTTGTTTGTTCATCTTCTCATAGAGCCATACTGAGTCACATTACTGCCCCTGTTCTTGTGACATTTGGTTGCCAAATGCTAGTGAGAACATCCATAGCTACAAGGCAGACTTCTCTCATAATCGTTATGCAGACGTTTTGGTCATATGATGAAGATATATCTCAGTTTATGAACCATATATTACGATCTGTTGTTTAGCACCCTTACATTTTTTTCTAGAGTACTTTTTTTATTGTAATGCCATATAGTTGAAGAAACCCCAGCACTCGGAACAGCATATCACCTCCCTGTAACTGTGCATGCTGCTTGTTTCTGCTGGTTTTTTCTTTGGTTTACTCTTCGACCCTGAAGATGGAAACCTTATGTTTTTCTGAAATACACCTAGAAGACAGAACTTTTCATTACTCACTATCATGAGAACTCAAATTAATCAAATACAACATAATTCTGTTCAACTTTTATATTGTGTCCAGAATCACACCTCTAGCTCTTTATCCTTGCTCTGTGTGTCATGGTTGTAGTAGCTTACTTAGTTGAGGCACTGTAACACAAGCCAGAAGGTCACGGGTTCGATTCACGATGAGGTCATTGGATTTTTTTCAATTGACCTAATTCTTCCAGCCGCACTATTTCCATGGGTTAGACTCAGCCTCTAACAGAAATGAGTGCCAGAAATCTTCCTGGGGGGTAAAGGGCGGCCGGCGCATAAGGCTGAAAACCTTACTGTCATCTGTGAGCCAGTTTGCTAAAGGAAATGTGGGAGCCTTGACATCTCACAACGCTGTTGGCCTCCGTGGCCTGCTACAGGGATAGCTTTGCTTTTTTTCCTACCCTCCCATTGAAAATGTGCCTCTTGTGGTGCTTGGGTTGGCTCAGCCTCTAACAGAAATACGTACCAGGAATCTTCCTGGAGGGTAAAGGGCGGCTGGTGCATAAGGCTGACAATCTCACCACCATCTGTGAGCCTCTTGTTCAGAAAATGTAGGAGCCTTGATGTCTCAAAACCCTATGGGCACAGAGATAGCTGTACCCTTCTCCTTCTTAACATGTTTGTCATGCTACTGCTATGCTTGTTATGACAGAAGTTTTTGGGGTACCCATTTTTTAGCCGTGTTGTGGCGGTTACAGGTGTTTGAACTTCTTAGAGTGCAGAAGGGCAGTACCAGCACAGTTCCACGTCCAGGTGCACGAGGCTCTGCAATATCTCGCACTGTCCTTGCCAAACCTAGAGGAGTTGGTCCCCAAGTGCACATGATGACACCATCTGTATCCATCGCTCCAGTGATGTCATCACCTCGAGTACCTGCACCTTCAGAGTCAGAAAGTGAAGGAGAGGAGGATTCAGAAAGAGAAATGTTGGCAAGAGCTGCTGCTCTTCGAAAAGTTGCAGGGAAAGGCAAAGGCAAGGGTACGTTCACATTTTATCCCTTATGCAAGCACAAGAGCCCTTGGGCGCTGGTTGACACACTGTCTATCAGCTATGTACCATGTCTCACATGTTTTGAAGTCTGCACTTATATTGTGATAGTATTTCATATTGCCATCTATAGATGGCAGTCTATGCTTTTCTGTGACCCTTCTTTGCACAAAGAATGCAGTTTGTATACACCCGAAAAGGTCTAAAGCTATGCTGCAACAACAGAGAGTTGCTGTCATCTGAATGTAGCTGTAAGGGCAGGCAGGATGCCACTCAAAACTGTTTGTAATGTTAGCAACACACTGAGAAATTCAGATCCCCTTTGTAAGTGATCAGTCTTCAGATGAAATATTTGAGTATAGCTATTATATGATATGCACAAGACTAAAAGGTGGAGACTGAAAATATCAGTAAAAGTATTAGTACCTGTATTTGGTATGTACCCAAATTTTTGGTTAATGTAGTTCGGAAATATAATACATATAGTGTTTGAAGAAGTACAGTATTTTTTCCTTATGCTTATTCATTTTAGTATATAATATTCATGCTAACAAAACGCACATTATGAGGCAAAATGGCATTCTATTTGTTGTGTGTTTGTTTCTCCCCTCTTCTATGCTGTATCCATGGATTTCGGTAAGTTTCCGTAACTCCTCAGCATTTCATTAGGTTTAATACTTTTTTGTTCCTTAGTAGTGACATACAGAATAGTTGATCATTTCGAACACTGAATCTTTTGTAGAAGACTCAGAGGCCTTATTTTGTGTCATATTAACAGCCCATGTTAATTTGAATTAGTTCATAATACAATTTTTGTTATTATAATATAGGTGATTAATGACAGTGTTTTAGAAGGAACACTAGACTGGCATCACATAATTTAGTTGTACATTGATTTCTTAGCTGAGCTATGTATGCATATGTACGAGGGTGAGTCAAATGAAAACCTTAAATTTGTAATAAACATTGAAATTTCGCGCCATTATCCTGTAAGTTGGTAAGTGTGCTACAAACAGCATGCAGAATGGCCTGTAGGTTGCAGCATAGTGCAGATGCACGAACACCGTCACAGCACCAGTATAAGATGGCTGCCCCACTTGAGACTTGCACCAGGGAAGAACAGCGTTCTGTTATTCGGTTTTTGTGTAGTGAAGGTGTGAAACCTATTGAAATTTATCGAAGAATGAAGTTTCAGTGTGGTGATGCATGTTTATCACATCAGCAAGTGTACGAATGGAGTAGGAAGTTTGCAAATTGTGTGACTTCAGTGGAAGATGCCCCTCGTCTGGGTCAGGCACATCGAGTTGTGACCCCAGAGAACACTGCAGCAGTTGAAGCCATAGTGAGGGAAAACCGCCGAGTGACATTGAATGAAATTGCAGCAAGTTTAAACATTAGAGATATGCCACGCGGTGCATGAGTGGTTGCGTGAACTACCAAAAGATTTTTTTTCTGAAGGAATTCATGCACTTTGTAAGCGCTAGAGGAATTGCATTGAGCGTGGGGGAGATCATGTTGAAAAATGATACAGCTTTGTACCACTTGTGCACAATAAATAATACTCGAAAAAATATTTAAGGTTTTCATTTGACTCGCCTACGTAGATTAGACAGAATTACAGTTATTGATGTTAAAGTCACCTTTGCACCACAACTGTCTGTAGTCTGTCATACAGTTGTCTGTCAATTAGGCAGTTTTTGATTAGGTGTTATTTTTATTGATAAATGTTAACAATTGCAATGGTTACAAAGATGGAATCGCACACACCTAAGTCATCGATTTTCAAGATGCTGGTCAACCTGGGCACCACCTAAGTCAACACAGGCTTGCAGACGCAAAGCAACATTTTCACATGCCTTTCTGCACATATTCACCGGAACTTTATTGAACTCCTGAACAATCATGTCACGCAGATGTTTCACACTGTCAATGGGATTAGCGTACACTTGTCTTTGAGGTAACCCCAAAGGAAAAAGTCTGGTGGGCTGATGTTGGGTGATCGGGCTGGCCACTCCACAGGCCCTCGACGGCCAATCCAGCATTTAGGAAAAACTTGATGCAAGAATGCCCAAACAATATTGGCGAAGTGTGGTGGGGCCCCATCTTGCTGCCACCACAGTTCATCAAAGTTCTCTCTCCTCTGAAGTTCTGGGATGACACTTTCCCTCAGCAACTTTAGGTAGGTTCCCCCGTGACGCAACCTTCAAGGAAGAATGGGCCAATCAGTCCTTCGTACGTCACGCCGCCCCACACCATCACTCCTGGGGACTGGAAATCGTATTCAATGGTGGCACTGTGGTTCTCTGGCTGCCAAAACACGCAGTTATGTTTGTTGACCAATCCTGATGTGTGAAATTTGGCCTCATCAGTCCAGACAATATTCTGGATAAGGTCAGGGTTCTCCTGAAACTTGGTCAGCATCAACTCGGTGAACTCAAGTCGCCTGTCGAAGTCGTCCTCGTTAAGAACATGAATAAGCCGTGGATGGTATGGCGTCAGCTTCATGTCACTCAAAACTCTCCGCAAACTTGTCCTCGAAATGTCCAGTAGGGCCGACAAACGGCGGGTAGACTTCGATTTCTGAGGAGATGATGCCAGTTCCGCAGCAACACGTGCTTGTGTGTCAGCAGTTCGGACAGTTCTCGGCTGACCAGGATGCTTGGGATTCAAAGCACTGGCAGTTTCATCAAAGTGCTTGTTTATTTGGACGTTTGTGTCCCTGTGGACTGCTGGCGGTCCAAACTCTCTCAACATCCTGTGCTGGACTTCTGATACATTGTTAGTAACTGAGAAAAGGCGCACACATTTTACACGCTACTCGATAGACAACCGTCTACCGGCCATGACGTTTCCTCGATTCGCACTAAGTAGGCAGAGTATTGACCTCGTTCACAGCATACCGTATGATGCTGCCATCTATCGACAACAAAAGGTACTTTCCCATTATCCCGTGTGTTGTTGGATTGGTTAGTTATTAATGATCAAAAACTGCCTAATTGAGTCTGGCCCACCCTGTAGTCTTGGTCTTTCCAACTGCAGTCTTTGCCTTTTAGGAATATAACTCCTAGAATTGGCGAAGGTATAGGCTATTCTTAAAGAAAGCTAAAAGTTCTGTTATATTTGCAACAAGTAGACACAAGTTTTCTAGCTGGATTGTGAAGACAGTCTTAAACCTAACAATTAATGAGCCTGCAGTGTCTTCTGTGTAGTGAAAAATATAAGCTGTGGGGGGGGGGCATCTGGTTTTTGTCATAAGAACAATGCAAAATTAGTTTTTTAAATAAGAATTGAAGTCTATCAGTACAGTTTAAGTGATACATATATGAAAACATGCAGTACATTAAATTCATATTGGAATTTTCTTTATAAGCATGTAACAGAATATTCTGTTGAGACTGTTGTGTTTATTGCCAGTAGGTTATGCTTTCTTAAGTAACATTTACTGTTTTATGTTTTTATTTTAATTACTGTGACAGTTCCATGTGCATGTCTGTAATTGATTATTATTTTTATACATAGCTGGATATTCAGCATTTGTTGAACACAGAAATGGCTTGCAGGGTTTGCAAACATACTTATATCTGCCTGTAGAAGGACTATGGATATCATTCATGTTGGCCATCATAGAAAGTATATAAAATATTCAGTGTAATTCAGAACGATTTAAGAAATATTATATTTAATCATCCTGTTACACTCTACATAATGTATGACACAAACTCCATCCTAAGTGCAACAATTTATTGTAGTTCTTTTGTCTTCCTTTCTTCTACACTACATGTTTCGGCCGCAAATGGCCATCATCAGGTGTATATTCTCACGTAGCTGTTACAGTGCACGTAGTTTAAAATTTAAAACCACCAGCTTTCTTAATTGTTCATTTCTCCATTGTTAATAGGTCCCGATATATCAGAATCCCCTTGCTGATATTTGTCAGATATGTATAAAATCTTTGTTAATTTACATACATCAATTTGACTTTTGAATTTTGGTATTTTTAAAATCTTCAATTTAAATTTTTATACATTTTATACATATCTGACAAATATTAGCAAGGGGATTCTGATATATCAGGACCTATTAACAATGGAGAAATGAACAATTAAGAAAGCTGGTGTTTTTAAATTTTAAACTACGTGCAGTGTAACAGCTACGTGAGAGTATACAGCTGATGATGACCATTTACAGCTGAAACATGTAGTGTAGAAAAAAAAGAAGATTTAAGAAATGTTTGTCCCCTGTGAATGATACCAGATGGGAGCAGTAAGTCTGTCACTGTGCTGCAGTGATATTTCTGAAAAGAAAATCAATTAATTACAGAAATTTAACTGAAGAAACTGGGCAGGACTTGGGAATTTTAGTAAATTTTTGTAATATATGAAAGGCTAAACTAGCAGAATACTGTCTGGAGTTTCAGTTCTGTTACAAATCCTTAATTCTAACACTCACATGAACAGGATCACACATCCATAAAAGTACCTTTTTATCTGTTCTGTGACATTTTGAGGATTATTATGTAAGAGTGGTTTGCTTATTGAGCCATCTTGAACACAGAATTAACCTTTCAACACAGCTATCTTGAAAGGAATTGAATTATGTGACTGTCACTTTCGAAAGCCTGTCAGTAATTGTGTATGAAATGTCAGAAATCTTGTGTCTTAATGTGTTAACCCTTTAAAGCACAGTGGTTGCCATATGTAAATATCTGCTTTAATGTTAAAATAGCTTTGTATTTAACCCACACAATGTATTTATATGTTTCATATGATTCTCAGAGTGAACAGCAATTGTTTCTATAAACTGGATCTTTATAATGTGATGCAGTGTGTTTTCCGTGAGGTAGGGACTGAATTTTTGTATAATATTGAGAAGAGATTTGTGCTTCAAAGGGTTAAGCACAGTGAATATTTTTACTGAATTATGCACAAGTTATCATTGTAAAATGAACAGATTTTAAAAGATATAATATGATGTGAGAACCAGTTAAGTGTTTTTACATATATTTTGGTGACATCTGTTCGGTTGATTGGTAACGCAGTAAATTTCACAATAGGTCACATGAGCAAAACTTCAAGCCTTATTAATAGTTATTTTGCAATGCAATATTTTCATTTTAATTTCTGTTATTGGTTAAATTTGATAAAGAATATTTTATAAGAAGATGTTAGTGGTAACTTTATTTCTGGTGATTAAATTGAATATTTCTTGTTAAAATAAAACAAATTGTCTGACTATAATACACATTTTGTTCGGAACCAGTATTTGTTCTTCCTCCTCAGCAGGTTACATTGTTGTGTAATATAGCTGTCAGAATTTGTGAAGATATATTACAGAGCTTAACAATGGGATTTGTTAAGCTTTCCTTAAGCATTTAAATGTATTTATAATTTGTAGTATGATATAAAATAAACTCTTTTCCAGATGTAGTGACGATCAGCAGCAGTAGTGATGATGATGACTGCATTCTGCTGTCAGAACCATCTAGTGGTGATGAAGGGGATCCTGTTGATGATCCTACAAATTCTGGAATGCATACAAATGATCTGTACAACATTCCTGATGAGCAGGGACGTGTATTAGTCAACGTTGGCCATCCTGCTGAAGAACCTGAAATCTTCCTTGCGCCACAGATAGCCAGGATTATCAAACCTCATCAGGTAAGTTCACATGAACTTCATTAACATGTTTGAAGTACTTTTATTTAATATTGTGACATGTTGCGCTATGCAGGACACCCCTCCCCCTGACAGTGATGACGTAACACCATCAGAGCGCTGTCGTTACTAGGGTAACAGGCAAGTCAACACTCCTTCCCCTATCCCGCCAGTGGTGACATGACCAAGGGATGCCGCGGTTGCTATGCGGCCGTAAACAACTCCCGACAGCGTTGCTAGGCTATCGGCAAACACGGCGTCAGACAACAGTGGTGCCTATTACGTAACTGTTTTCTGTGTTGTCCGTAACGGGGCTAAATAAGGAACAGTGAAGACTATTCAAGTCAGTTACGAGTTAGCCAGGGGGTCAGCCAACCAGTCAGTTGTAGTCTAACATTCGCAGGCCAGGTAGTTGTGAAATTGTGAATTGTGTGATTGTAAGAGCGAGTGTGAAATAAAATTCGCTATATCCGATATGGCGTGAAGTTATGTGTCGCGTTATACACTCAACACGTGACAATATTTATTGTATTCAGGGTTTTTAACCTTTCCAGAACCAATCCCAAAGTATTCAGGTGCATCCAAGTTCCTTTGATGGGTCAAGTCTAAATATAATCATATCTCTAACTTGTCCACTGTATAAGTCTGAATATGCCCACATCTAGTGTGTCAGCTGGACCTACCTGAATATACAGATGTCCCAGGAAGAAAAGTTAATATTCTGGGAGGTCATAGTATCATCCAGTCTAAGCAAAAAAGTGTATACGTACACATGTCCTATTCTGAAAAGTTTCCTAGATAGATCTATTTCACTCTACAGTACACTGTACACTTTAGAGACAAGGTAATGTTGTCCGTGTACTTCATTAAGCACCATGCCATGAAGATGTAAGGGGAGTGGAGGTATAGCTTCATCATTCATGACTTGGTGCTGGGTGGAGTTGAGTGGTCAGTTTCATACCCAGGCCATGTATCCCTGGGAAAGAGTCCCTGGCACCCATTGGATAGAAGGCTGAGTGGGCCCCGGAGCCAGTGTGGATACTGTGGAGTAGAGAAAGTCCCTTGCCCCTGCTGGGAGTCAAACCCTGGCAGTCCAGCCCATCACTGTAGCAACTGGGCTCCTGTTCTGAGGATGTGAACTACATTGAACTAATTGACAGTTTGCTTATACCTTTGGGGTTTACCATCTGAGAAGTAGTTATTTGTTTTATAATTGTTACTAAAATGTATATGGGAATATGTCATACCTTGAGGAGGCAGCCTTATGCATAAGTGGTTGTGTTTGTTCAACAGGATCGGTTTTGGTTTCCATTCTATGCTGAAACTAGAATCTAGTAACTTTCTAATTATGACGTAATGATCGACATATGTTACTCAGTGATGATGACACACCTCTAGGGAGGTGTTAGACGTAGTATAACTTGAAACAGTAAGGTAAAAATAAAAAGGTAAAGCTGTCCCTATAACAGTCCGTGAAGGCCAGTAGGGTTGTGAGACATCAAGACTCCCACATTTTTTCTAGACATTCGGCTCATAGATAGCAATAAGGTTATCAGCCTTATGCGCTGGCCCCCCTTTACCCCCCAAGAAGATTTATGGCACTAATTTATGTTAGAGGCTGAGTTGACCACAGTGCCTTAGTGCGGCTGGTAGGATAAGGTAAATTGGAAAAATGCACCTCATTGGGACTCGAACCTGTGACGTTCGTCTTATAGCATATTGTCTCACCCAACTATTCTGCTGCATGCCCCCATAACTCGAAACAGTATACAAAGTATCAGTTGATTACACAGATCAGAAAGAATTTTGTGCTGTGAGTAGGTTGTGGTTTGCAGGTTACATTACCATTCACTTTGAATTATTTTATTGACGCCCAGGAAATCACTTTCAAATTTCCGTGGTTTAGACACAGTATTCCAGAGCGCAGTTGTTAACACATCAACTGCTGTACCACCATGCTGGAATTTGACCTGCTGGACTAGCCATTTGTCCAGAATATGGATTTTCATATTATAAATGTGAAATGCGTGAGAATGAGTGAAAAACTGCCTACAGTTGAGGCATGTTTCAACTCTTTCAAGCTTCAACAGTCTGCACTTAAAATGTCTCTGCATTTGAGTCACAACTATAGAAGAAAATGACATTTATGTTCACATTGATGACACCCCATTACCTAATGTGGTCAGTATTGGCACATGATAAATCTGAGCCTATCAGGTGATGGGACTGGTAATGAAAGCGTTGTTATGTCTGTGGTTGCCCCTTTTTGTGCATGTTTTCAGAGGTTTGGCATTGCATATGTATTCGTGAATAGATTAGTATTATATTTGAGCATCCTTTTGCATTGTGGCGTCATTTTTAGATCGTTAAGTATACCGTCTATAATGCAAAATAACCTTATATAAAAGGCACTAAAATATATTTAATACACTAAAAGTGCTTGTTAAATAGTTTAAAATGTCATTAAACTTACACATTCATTCCTTGTTGCAACAAATGTTTTGGTCTGATGATGGTTCATATGTGGCCGAAACCGAAACATGTTGCAACAAGGAATGAATGTGTAAGTTTAATGACATTTTAAACTATTTAACAAGCACTTTTAGTGTATTAAATATGTTTTAGTGTCTTTTATATAAGGTTATTGTTGCATTACAGACAGTATACTTATGATCTAAAAATTGAATATTGTAGATTAGTTTAATGGTGTATATAATTAATTTTGAGAATTCATTTTTATTCCAGATTGGTGGTGTCCGGTTTCTGTTTGACAATGTGGTGGAATCCCTGTCGAGGTTTAACACTTCGACAGGATTTGGTTGCATCCTGGCACACTCAATGGGACTTGGCAAGACATTACAGGTGACATGGAACGTGACTGAATTTTGTTCATGCTTCTCACGAACATAATTGATAACATACAGTGTCATTTGAAGTACATTTTGCAAGTTTAGTTAACAGTGGTTCGTGAAATGTTGTCAGAAAATCAAAAATATTTATATCTCATAGACATTTTGTTGTTTTCGTTTTATGTGAGCAAGAGTTTCATTTATTTAAGTTGCTGTGGCCATACTGAACTTAATACTTTTCACTCTGAGCAACTCTGCTACTGTCTTGCCTCCCAGCCTGCCATTTTACACAGTTTGTATGCAAAATTTAAAATAAAATTTGGTTTAGATATTGATTTGCTTGTGTTTACTAATAAACCTTCAGCATTAAGCATGTGAAATTTTGTATGGAGTAGAAAAGAAATATATGTGCACAGATTGTATGTTATAAAGTAAAGTAAGTAAAAGTAAGTAAAGGTACCCCTGCAACAGGCCATGGAGGCACATAGGGTTGTTTGATGTTGAGGTTCCCAAATTTTCTAGACAGTCGGCTCATAGATGGCAGCAAGGTTGTCAGCCCTATGCACCGGCCACTCTTTACCCCCAACAATACTCCAAGAATATTCCTGGTACTCATTTCTGTTAGAGGCTGAGTTGACCCCAGGGCCATAGCGCAGCTGGAAGGATCAAGTCAATTGAAAAAATCCATTGACCTCATCAGGACTTGAACCCTCGACCTTCCTGCTTGTAGCATAGTGCCTCATCCAACTCTGCTACCACGTGCCCCCATTGTATGAAATATTGTTCATAACTGTACAGTTACAAATATGGTGAGGGCATGAAACTTTGATATAGCTGGCAGATTTAGTAGTGTAAAGGTATCTGTACTTAAATAGTAAGTTTTTGTGAAAATAAAATAAAAAATATAATAGAGAACAAGACAATCTTGGGATTCACAGGAACAGACCCTAGCAGACCAACACTGCAAACAGTAATAGATCTGTAGAACTAGATATCTCTGCAGTAAGAAAATATTCTTATGTGATTTGCATGGGACACATCTGTATTACTAGATTTATGGCCCTCATGTATCATCCAGTTTTCTAAAGTAGAACATTTTTGGAACAGTGTGCTCGGATCCTCAGGTGAGGGGTACCTAAGGGCAGAAACCAATCATGTTCCCTAAACATTGTGATCAGTTTTAGATTATTGGACCACAGACTGAATTCATCTAAATGTAATACACGATCATCGGAACCCTTTGGAATTGATCATCATGCCTTGATTAAATGTGTGATATCATTAGAACATGAGATATCATGTCTTATGCCTACAATAATATGATTTCTATGGCACCTGAAAACAGTTTTAGATTAAAATGTTTTACTTCCCTAGGTGGTGTCCTTCTGTGATGTGTTCCTACGCCACACCAGCGCCAGAACAGTTCTTTGTATTATGCCAATCAATACCCTGCAGAACTGGCTGGCAGAGTTCAACATGTGGCTGCCTGCTCCCGCCAAAGACAGTAGCAGTGCAAACAGCAGCAGTAACACTGTCGGAAGCAATAATAGCAACAGCAGTAGCGATAACATCGGCAGCACCACAGAACAGCAGCAATCCATTCTTACTGACTCATCAAGTGATATTGCTGTGGAAACTAACAGTACTCCAGAAAGCAGGCCTCGAAACTTTGCCCTTCATGTCCTTAATGATTCGCATAAGTCCATGGCAGCACGCTCAAAAGTGAGTATAAGTATGTTGCTTTATACACAATAGCAAACATAATAACTGATAGAGATGGTTTTATCATGCGTCCTTAACACACTCTTGTCATGTGTATGGACCCTATGATGTGGCCATTTTTTGCATACTTCTTAATAAAAATAATAGTTGTCAATGATATTTTAACACTTCCCTCCCAGATGTTGGCAAAACTATCAAAATATATAGTGTTAACAGTGTGTAATACAAAGACAGTCATCAGCATGATGTTTGTTCAGAAATGAAAGAGAAATGCAGAAGATATACCTGTTTTTGTCCCATTGATTCTCAGAGTAAGGCTTCATAGAGGGAAAGATAATCCTGGTAATCAATGAAACTGGCAGAAATATATTAAAAAGTTTAGAGAAATAAGTACATGTGTCTCGTTGAGTTACACACTCCAGAGATCACTGTAATTACAGCACACAGTGGATGTTCCCCTTCATTTGCGGTTCCCGAACTTACCCCGGTCTCAGCTACCAGCTTCATCTCACAACTGCAACTCTCAACTGACTCAACCAACTGAACTGCTAGTCCTCGTTATATAGCCCCGGCACAAACCACACAGAAAACGTCTCTTCCATTATTGTGTGTACTCTCATTGCCGGGGAAACAGCATGTCCACAGAGCTGCTGCCTAGAAACAACTGCTGTACTGTCGCTAGTTCACATAGCTGTTACTTGGCAGTGGGTCTGTATGTCACAGTGTATGAACATTAAGTTCTTGGGCTTTCATTTGGGTCTCATGGGAAAAATCAGAAATCTTATAAATCAAATCGTAATGCTTGCCACTGTGTCATATGTATAATATTTGTGTTTGTGCAGTGAGAGGTGATCATTGGTTTTAATAGGAGCAATATGTAGCAGCAGAAGGTACATTTGAGTTGCTATGGCAGTGTACACCTTTGGCAAAGGAAGTTCGTAGCATACTTTCAGATTGCAGTATTGCTTAGTGGATATATTAATATCAAGTGTAGTATCTTAATGTAACATAAATATAGCTCCCCTTCTAGAAATTTGGAAGTTCATAGCTGATATGCAAAACATGCTGCATGTGCATGGAAAGTGTTTTCCTTACATAATTTGTGTACCAGATTCAGTTTCTTGTTGAAAGTTGCAAGTTTGAATGGGCTTAATGCTTGTATACAGTATTCAGAGTTTGAAACAAATCTTTCTGTGAGATTTCAAAGGAAATTTCCTGTATGGATTTTAAATCAGGACATAGATGAGTTGTACAACTGCTACTGCTACTTAGCCAGCTGGTTCAAGCAGTGTCAGCTTTGTCTTGTATATGGGGAGTGTTTGGCTCAGTTCTTGGCTAGGACATCAGGTGACCTGAGCTATACTGACTGAGGATTCCCCTCCCCCAGTATATACAGGAAATGTCAGCATAGTACCTCAAATTAGGCTGTGACCACTTTTTTTTTTCATATGCTTTCCAATACATTATTCACTTTTGACCATTCATTACAGTGTAGTCTCAGTCACTGACAGTGCCATTAAATAAATCAAAGAGCCAGGTTAGCACAGTCAGTATAGCGACTGGCTATGGACTGGATGGGCGAGGGGTCAGAGTTCAAGTCCTGGTGCGGACAAGAATTTTCACTTCTCCATGTTGTCCAGACCAGCTCTGGGGTCCGCCCAGCCTCCTATCCAGTGGGTACAAGGTGTAAAGTGGCTGGGGTTTGAAGCTGACCATTCACCTCCACCTAGTGCCAAGGTCAACAAAACGTGGATCTATACATCCACTCCTCCATACGCCTTCAAGGTGTAGTGCTTCATTAATGAAGCACAGTGACAACTTTACTTTTATAAATAAACAAATCTGCTGCTAGTTAAGAAGGTGGTGACGTGTCGAGAGTTGCGCAACTGCAGCTTTTAGTCAAGTCAGTTTAGTTAGTGCTTCATTAATGAAGCACAGTGACAACTTTACTTTTATAAATAAACAAATCTGCTGCTAGTTAAGAAAGTGATGACATGTCGAGAGTTGCGCAACTGCAGCTTTTAGTTCACCTTTCGAATTTTCTTTTTCAGGTAATTCAGGAATGGTCTAAAGGAGGTGGAGTGCTCCTAATTGGATACGAACTGTACAGACAGCTGAGCTTGAAACGCCCCAACAAAGCCAATAGCAAGAAAAGAAGGAGAAAACATCAGGATGAAGTGGTAGATGTTGATGCAGATGAGAAGAACAAGGCTCTCCTTGACGGTTGGTTGCAGTAGATGTGATAGGAATTTACTTATGACATGTGGCAGATGTGAAGATTAAATTCTTCTCGGAAGTGACATCATGTAGTGTGGAAGAGAAGTACTGACATTTTGGAGGAATGTGGTGCCACCATCTTCAGAGTAGAAAGGGGGGGGGAAGAGGGGAGTTAAGATGAGTCAGCAGGTTTCTTCTTCTGTCGGACTGTATAGCATCACATCTCTCAAATTAGTAATCTTCAATAATTCAGCTGTGAAGATGTGGCAGTACTGTATTTCTAGACCGTTTTTCTTATTGTATAAGATTCTGTTTTGTTCTTGTATTTGTCTGGCACACAGACACCTCCGAGTAAATTTTAACCAGGCAGTGCCATAGCTCAGGCGGTTAGTCACCAGTGCAGTGGCCCGAGTTCGATCCTGGGTCAGATCATGTGGGGTCTGTAGTGGACATAATGGCACTGGTGCAAGTTTTCTGTGAGTGCTTTAGTTTCCCCTACAAATTCTGATTTCATCAACTGCTGCACACTCATCGTCATCATCCAGGGCTGATACAGTATGCCAAATAGTGGCCAACATACCAAGTGGACTCAGCCTCACCCCACCCAACTTAAAAAATGAAGCATTTGACTAATTTCCATTAAACTTTGCAGGAATGTCACTCTGCTAGGGGTGCTTCCCAGTTTGCTAGTGTACTGACTGCGAAAACTGCTGAGGTGTGAACACAGTAATGCTGTTTAGTATGGGGTTCTGAAATTTTGTGTGGTAATAGATCTTCAGAAAATACAAGTTTTTCTCTTACAACCATATGGAATCTAAGTTTGATAATAACCTAATGAAGGGTTTGAACTAGATAGCATTTTGAGTATCATGAACATACCTACTTACAGATTATATGAAGCAGCATAAATATGTTAAAAATTATGACATAGTAATGCCATGAGGTGAATAGTTCTTTAAATAGGCCGTAAGCAGTTCCTTCTCAGTGATTTCATGTTCATCAGAGGTGATCATGACCCATGCAGATGATACAGTATCATTGAGCACCCTATGATTTATCCATCAGAAGTGACAGATTACATAACCAGAGCTTGTATGTGCGCAACCTGTGTACAGAAATGAATCACAAAATTGTATAAGTATGTGTATGAATTATTAATCTATAAGCAGTAGTACAAGGGAGTCAGTAAATAGGTCACAAATGGATATAAAATGTAAAACATGTGATATTCGAACCAACATTGATACATTTGTCCCATCGCTTTACCGGTGTGTCAAAACCTGCAGCATGCAAGTCTTTTGACTGCTGTCTCAGCCACTTCTGCACCTCCATTTCATCATCTGCGACTTTCAAACTTCTGAGAGAATTTTTTGACTCAGTTGTGAACCATTTTACACCACAGACACTTCTCACATTAAACAGGAAACATTTCTTTATGAATATCCTTTGCATTGAGTCCTTCTGCCCATATAAAATGCACAAAACAATGCTTTTCTGCAGTAGTACACCCCTCAAGCATGATTGCCATTTTGACTACTGAAACCAGCCTCTGACTGTGCACATGTGCATCTGCCACCAAGAGTGTCATGAAACTGGACTGTGCTGCTACCTACTGATAAACACAGAAAACCTATTTCATCCATTACAGCTGTTTCACTTTGATTTGTGACCTGTTTACTGACTCTCGCTCATATTATTTTGGACATTTGCCATGATCTTGCGTCATTTTAGACACAGCATTTCAGAAACTGGATGTTTCTTTGTGGGATTGAGGTTGTCATAGCATGGCTATGGAGGGTACATTCTTCTGCGTTGTAATGCTGTGTAATTCAGAGGGAGCCTGACATTGTGGTGGACCATATCACCCCCATCAGAGTCAAAGCCAAAGAAACTGAGCTTGCCCCCCCCCCACATTTCCACTGGTTTCTTGCTTGGCTTATTCCTTGACCATGAAGATGGAGGCAATATTCCACTCAAACAGACTCCCTCCAAACTGTATGGCAGTACAGTCCACAAAACTACTCTATGCTGATCTTTTTATATTATCAGGTGTATAGAAGGGAAGGTTTCTACTCAGTTGGGCCAGTTAGAGATGTCGATTTATACTAATTTCATATATTATGTGTATGTATATATAGTTCCTGCTACCCTTGCCATTTTGACTGTATCTACAGAAGGAAGGTAGACCTCTTGTGTTCATCCTGTAGTGTCTTGTTAACATGAAATATGTCCTTGAATGTATTTGAAATGTCTTTACAGAGATGCATTCTGCCCTGGTTAAGCCAGGACCTGACCTCGTTATCTGTGATGAAGGTCACCGTATCAAGAACAGTCACGCATCTATTTCACAGGCACTGAAACAGATACGGAGCAAGAGACGTGTCGTATTAACAGGTAATACATCTGAACACTGCTGAGACATCTCGTTTTGTAGTTTAACACCTGTAAGGAGAAGGGTACAACAGAAATTAACACATAATTATGTGGTTCAGGATGTTTTTTGCTATCTGTACTGCCTGTAACCAGACAATAAAAATCATTGGCATTGCAGGGAACTAAACTGGAACTCCCATTTAAGATTCCTTGTGGGAAACAGCGGATCTAAACGCAAAATAGAGGAAAATTAGTATTGAGGTTATTGAGATCATTGAATTCAGGTGCTAAATTAAGGAAAATCCTAAATGAAGGGACTTTAAATGTGGGTTTCAGCTGTAACTGTTATTTTACATTAAATATAAAATTTAGTTTGGGAAGTCATCAAGTTATAAACAGGTTGTATTTGAAAAGTTTGTTTGTAATGTTATTGTGGCATTGTGTCGGGCAACAACCACGAGACAAGCAGAAATACAGATGCTGTTACTGAGCAACAGCTTCACAAACAAGTATGTTATTATGGCAGAAATTTGAAACAACAACAGAAGAACAGTGTGCTGTCTGTGCTGAGTTGTTATAAGCAGGACAGTTGCAGCCATGAGTTAGCTGTGGGACAGTAGCCAGCTAGTGAGAACATGAGTGCAGAAGCAGAGGACATTGTTGGGTGGTGAAGACATAGCAGATTGAGAAGATTTAGTATGTGCTGTAGTGAACTGCAGAGTTTGTGAATTAGTGATAGCGCTATAGTTACATGTAGTTACAATCTGTAAGTGTTCAGTAAGTCCAATTACCAGTCCAAACCCCATCTATAGCCACTCATACACGTAACATTACAAATGGTTCTCAAACCATCCCACACTCAAATATAAACCTGAGATGGATAATGGTATAAAGTGACAGTGTTATAATACCAGTGACAAAACACTTCAGAGAAACAGTGAAACTACACAGCAGGCATCTTGTTCATTATTTTCTTGTATATTGGCACTGCCCTGCTTACTGAAGCGGCATTTCTTGAATCAGAAGAGGTTTAGTTATTGGAGGATGAGAAAGTAAGATTCTTATGAAGTTTGCTTCAGCAGCATTTCAAGGGTTGCAAAACTCTCTATGGGGTGTGGATGCTGCATTCCACCATCGCAGATGGCTTTGAAGAGTGGTCATGACTGGTGCATACATATAAATTAATGCTCGTATGACAAATATTTGAATATTAAAGTAGGCTGTAGCTTGATTTGTATGCATGGACATTTGTAACTCAGGGACATCTGTATTTTGTGTAAGGCCATGGAATCTCATAGGGTTGTGAGACGTGAAGGCCTCCACATTTTCTAGACAGTTTGCAGATGGTGGTGAGGTTGTCAGCTTACATGCCGGCCTCCCGTTACCCCCAGGAAGATTCCTGGTACTCATTTCTCTTAGAGGCTGTGTTGACCCCAGGGGTGTAACCCGGCGGGAAGAATTAGGTCAATTTAAAAATTCATTGACCTCGTCAGGAATCGAACCCACAACCTTCTGGCTTGCAACATAGTGCTTCAACCAGCTACTGTACCGCAGGATATGTAGTAATACTTTCCTATAATTAATTACACACAAGATTCCTGTTATTTGTATCACAAATAAATGTTAAACTAAAAACATGTAATTTCTGGTCAGGTTATCCACTGCAAAACAATCTTCTGGAATACTGGTGCATGGTGGACTTTGTACGACCAAACTACCTAGGTACAAAGACGGAATTCTGTAACATGTTCGAACGTCCAATTCAGAATGGTCAGTGTATAGACAGCACACCGCAGGATATAAGACTAATGCGATATAGAGCTCACGTACTGCACTCTTTGCTGGAGGGCTTTGTACAGAGGTGAGTTGAATTTGAAAATGTTTCATACTGTACTTTGTATCATAAACTTTAAAAGAAACGTAGTTATAGACAGATTTCAGTTAAACATCACAGTCCCCCCACCCCCCATTGAATCATCTTCAGTGACTGCGTTGTGTGTGTAGTTCAGTTTTCTATGATGTGACACTGTGTAGTATGTTATTTCTTGGGGAACATCTCTAAACTTAGAGTCACAGCAGAGATGCTGTACTTTTCATAAGCACTGCCACAAAGACTTCAGGTTTGACTCCCATCATACTTATACCATTGTGATTGTACAGGCAGTTCTATGAACAGCAATAGAAGCAAAAGTGAATTGGTCTTTACACTTTCCAGCACATGAAAATTGTGTTGGATATTGTCCATTGTCTAGGGTACATCTGACATATAGAATGTTTTGGAAACTGGATCTGTTTCCATCATTAGGTGTGTATAACTAATGTCATGGAGCTGAGCCCTTCTTGAAAAGCTGCCAATTGTACAGCTATTCAAGAATTTCCATCATTTTATGGAACCCAGAGGTTCATTAATCTTTAACATATGGACTTTTAAACTGCCGGCAGCCCTCTCTGGCTGGTATTTAAATCACCCTAATTAACGTGTTCTCAAGAGCCCTCCACTGGTTCCTATCCTGAGCCAGATCAGCACAGCCCATACCACTCCATTCTGTCTTTCTAAGATCCATTTTAATATCATTCACCCACCTATATCTTGGTCTTCCTCGTAGTCTCTTTCCTTCTGGTTTTCCCACCAGTATCTTATATACATCCTCGACATTCAAAGCTACATAACCTGCCCATCTCATTCTCCTTGACATGATAATTCCAATTATACTTGGAGAAGCATACAAGTTATGAAGCTCCTCATTATGCACTTTTTTCCAACCTCCCATCACTTCATCTTTCTTTGGTCCAGATATTTTCCTCAGCACCCTTTTCTCAAACACCCTTAGTCTGTGTTCCTCCCTTAGTGTCAAGAGACCAAGTTTCACACCCATACACAACCACAGGCAAAGTTATAGTTTTGTGTATTCTAATTTTTACATTTTTAGACTGCAGAGGAGAAGACTGGTCTGACTGGTAGCAAGCATTACCTGAATTCAGGCTCCACTTAATTTCCTCTTGAATCAAATTTTGATTTGCTATAGTCCTTCCAAATATTTGAACTGTGTCACATCTTACTCTGCATCTCTTAATATCTGTTTATATCAGGTGTGTATAAATAAATAAATGTAACATGGTACATAATTGTGTGGTTGAATGGGTCCATGTTTCTCACATATAGACGGAGCCATTCAGTTCTTCAGGTGTCCCTACCTCAGAAGGAAGAGTACGTCCTCCTGTTACGTTTGACACAGTTCCAGAGAAAATTGTATGACACGTTCATGAACGAAGTTGTACGGACCAAAGCTGTGCCAAATCCTCTCAAGGCTTTTGCTGTATGCTGTAAGGTAAGGTGATAATAAGTTCCCCCCCCTCCAAAATAAGCAGGAAGCAATTTGAGGTATTCTGATAAATGATTGTAACCCATGGAGCTTGAGGTTTCCCAGTACTGGGAAAACACTGCAAGAATTCCTTCAGGAAGAAAATTATCTTCTGGGATGTGACACTATGTTGTCTGGTAGAACTTCACTGATCTTTTGGGGGAACATACTGCCTCCATGGTCAGAGGAAAAGAGTAAGGCAAGCAAGCAAGCAAGCAGATCTGTGCTACACAGCATCGCATCCCTTCAGAGTCACTCCCTCAAGAACCTCAACATGTCTTCGGGAGCCAGAACAGGAAATAGGCTCTTGGGATCAGCCCAAATTGTAGAGTGGACAATTAAAGTATTGTCACATGATAGTGAGTAGATATGTTTCCAGCTGATAATTGCATATTTTTGGGGGGATACTGATTGTTGTTATTTAACAAATAATTACATATTATATGAGCATTTACAATCGTTCACCATTTGTTATATGACTTGGCTAGTTCCTTTTTGGTTCTGTCTACACAGACACATTTTTGGCCTTCAGTCTGTAATAATGGACACAGCTTTTTATATTCTGATGTTGTGAAGCAACATTTGGTTTTGGGCCACATGCCCCATATTTTGACTCTACTCCAGGTGTTATTCCCGTACCCATTGTTAACAAGTCATCATATAGCAGTGGCTGCCTCTGCAGCAGTTCTCTGAATCCAAGATTCTGCGTTTTAGGCATCATGTCACAGTGCCTTGAAGGTGATCTGTGTGTTGCATTTTGAGTCTTTGTCCTGTAGTTGTAGAATGTTTGCATTTGCACCTGTGTGCAAAGATCAGAACATCAAAAAATTTGAACCGCATTTGATTTTATTTCAGATCTGGAACCATCCTGATGTCCTGTACTACTTCTTGAAGAAAAGGAATTCTGGAGAAGATGTTGATTTAGACCTGGAGGAAGCAACAGCCGCATCAAGCACCCCACTTGTATCAGGGGTTGCAGCTTCTCCTAGGGGTGGTCCAGCCAAAAGAGGCAGAGGTAGAGGTTCACGAAATCCCTCTGGACAGGGCAAGCGGGAGCGGAAGGTACAGAACCTTGAATATGATTTTGTGTCCTTATGTGTTATGTTATGCTCTTAGAGGGAGGAAATGAGACGAAACGGGAGCTTAGGAAGTTATATAATGAGGAGCCTCGCCAAACGTTAGGGCGATCAGATGGAGAATGAGATGTTGAGGTCATGTAGCAAGCATGAGAGAGAAGATAAGTATATGCAAAGGTTTGGTTTGGTAGGAAAGTCAGAACAAAGGAGAACATTGGAAAGAACTAGGTATGAATGGGAGGATAATATTAATATGGATCTTAAACAAATAGGATGTTGAGAATGTGGAGTGGATTCATCTGGTTTAGGATGGGGACCAGTGTGAGACTGTTGTAAAAATGGTAATGAACTTTAAAATGCTCAGGATTTTGTGAGTAAACTGAGCAACAATTAGCTTCTCAAGAAGGACCCAGTGTAGTTGAGTGAGCGAGTGGGTTTGTTGGTTGATTGGTCATTCAGTAGTTAGAATGTTATAGTGTTTGTCCTTCCAAGAAGCATTTATGTTCTGGATAATGAAGCCTGACAGACTGTGAACTCTGATATGCTCATTGCCAGAATATAACTACTTAAGCCTTACTGACTAGCTGTGTGCTGTATTACTGTGGTGGTGCTTGCTTTTGTTCCATCTAGCCTGGTGTTGTATTCTTTCAGCACCAATATTGTCATTCCCAAGATAAAATAGACTGTCAGCCCTGTTCAGTTGAGAAATTTAAAACTCCTGTTCATAGGTTCCTCCAAATTGTAACATGGCTACCAACCCCATGTAACAGCGATATTTACATTCCTTATTCTCAGATGACAAAGGCTACAGTTAAATTAGAAATATTGTCTCAATTCCTTACATTATTTCTTAGCCTTGTGCAACAATTTTTTTTTATATAGCACGTGAATAAGCGAAAGTAAAAGAGTCCATTAGATGAGTTTGATAGGTGTTTGCTTCATAATGGCAGTTTTAAATTTTTCAGTGTAAAAGTGAAACTAATGTACTCCATCAGTTGTTATAATCAGAGCTGTTATCCTTGTGTAACCTGTTAACAGTATTCATCATCATCGTCACTCATTGAGTTGAACCCTTCTTGAGAAGCCACCAATTATGCAGCTACTGAAGAACTTCCCAGCATTTTATGGAACCCGATGGTTCATTATGATGTTCACAAGAGCCCTCCACTGGTCCCTGTCCTGAGCCATACCATCCCATCCTATCTCCCTAAGATCCATCTTAATATTGTCCACCCACCTACATCTTGGTCTTCTAAGTGGTCTCCTTCCTTCCAGCTTTCCCACCAATATCCTATACACATTCGTCATCTCCCCCATTCGTGCTCCATGCCCTGCCTATCTCATCCTCATTGACTTGATCATTCTAATTATACTTGGAGAAGAGTACAAATTATGAAGCTCCTCATTATGCAGTTTTCTCCAACCTCCCCTCCCTTCATCTCCCTTCGGTCTTCTTACATTATTCCCTTACTTTAATATATGTCTGTTATTTGTCAGATATTGTTTCAAAATTTTAATTCTGTCTAAATAACTCTTTACAGAAGAAATGTCCTGTGTGTTCAACATGATCTCTGGCATGATGATCTTGACTCCTATTGTACCTTGAAAATGGAAGCTGATAGGTTCTAATACCTGATGACACACTCTAAAGATGTTTTAGGTACAGACTACAGTAGGTTCTCTTCAGTTGTTGAAATCAAAATTTAATTTTGTCCAGAATTAATGTTTTTATGGAAGTAATCGTACTTCGTATTGTTGAAGAAAAGCGTTATGGTTACATTGCCACATTACCAGGTGTGATATTGTTTTCAGATTTCACATATGTCAGTTTAAGATCACTACCTTATCATAATACTTTGCCTTTCATTTCAGGGCTCAGCACCATTTCGTCAGTTAGGCAGTAACAAACCTGCTGCAACGATTACACCTCAGACAGCAAACCTAGCTTCAGGTGGAACAGTTGGCAATACCTCAAGCAGTAACAGCGGCACTAACACTAACAACTCTCCACAATGCGGTGCAGTTCCCAGTATGGGCTGCATGGGTACAGGAACCCCTATGCAGCAGGATCCACATGCAAACAACCAGCCTTACAACATAATGGGCCAGCAGAATCAGTCTTACAATAATCCTGGCTCGTATACAGACATGCAACATTACAACCCTAACAGTGCACCCCCGTATGGTTACCCAACAAACCCTCCATCTTCCAGCTATGATCCCAATTATTCCAACAACTCTTATAATTCCAGTAACTCATCGTACGGCAGTTCTAATCACAATACGGCTGCACCACAATATGGAGGCTCTGGAAATTACTACCCCCCAACTGGTGGATCAGCAAATGACCAACAAGGAAATTATGAAAATAATACTATGGAATCCTATTATCCTACTGCAGGAAGTAATCATCATGGAACTAGTTACCAGAACCCTGCGACTGGAAACAGCACTCCATATTGGCAACAACATGGCAATCATGGTTACTACCAACATGTCGGTAATGGCAGTGGAAATGGGAATCCAAATCAGTATTATAGTGGAAATGGGGGTAGTTCCTACGCTGGTACAAATAATGGTGAAACGGGGGAAAGTTCATATTACATGGGGCATCACCCTCACAGCCATCAGCAGGGACAGTATGGTGATTATGGAAGCAGGGAACAAGGAAGTATGTATCATGGGATGAACACCAGCGGTTTCATGGGTGAAATGGGACAGAACACGATCGGTAATCCAAATAGCAGTGGTCTGGTCAATATGGGAGAAAGCAGCCAGAGCCAAAGCAATAACATGTTGAACATGCCACAGAACTCCAGTATGCCAAACCCGAGCACAATGGGAAATTTACAGCCTTCACAGAATTTAAGTATGAATAATATGCAGAATGCTACAGGAAATCAAAACCCAATGGCAAATCAGACTACTATGGGAAATGCACAGGGTGCCATGAATTCCATGCAAACGTCTATGGAAGGAAATATTGTAAATAAGAATCAGAACCCGGTAGGCACTCCACAGAGTCCTATTGGAAACCAACAGAACACAGCTGGACAGCAGCACAGTGCTGTTGGCAACCAGAGTCCAATGGGAACACAGAATTCTGTTGGTACTCCGCAGACTATCATTGGAAACCAGCAGAATACAATGGGAACTGCACAGAACTCCATGGTGAATCCACATAATCCAATGGCAATGCAACAGAATCCCATGGGAAGTACTCACAATTCGATGGGGGCTTCACAGAATTCAGTAGGAACTCCACAACCATTGACTGGAACTCAGCAGAATCCAGTGGGAACTCCACAGAATGTGATGATAAATTCACAGAATCCAATGGGAAACGGTCAGAATATGATGGGAACTCCAAATGCATTAGGAGCACCACAAAATTCAATGGGAATGTCACAGAATCTAATGGGACCCACGCAAAATATGATGGGACCACCACAAAGTTCCATGGGGACACCACAAAGTGCACTGGGAACTGTGCCAAATCTGATGGCGGCACCTCAGAATTCCATGGGAAATCCACAGAATCCAATTGGATCGTCACAATCTGCAGTGGGAACTTCACAGTCAACCATGGGAAATCCACAGAATCCAATGACCACACATCAAAATCCAGTAACATCACCACAGAATGTGATGGCAGTTTCGCAGAATCCCATGGGACCACCACAGAGTTCAATAGGGACACCACATAGTCCTGTAGGCTCTCAGCAAAATATGCTGGGGACTCTGAAGAATCCCATGGCAGCTCCAAACGCGATGGGAGTCCCACAGAATCAAATTGGAACTTCGCAAGACTCTGCAGGAAACGCGCAGAATCTGATGGGAAATCCTCAAAATCCATTAAACAGTTTCCAAGGCTCAGTAGGGAATAATTCACAGAACTTAAACATCATGCAGAATACACATAATCACATGCATGGTCATCCTGAAATTGGTGGTAATTCTGGTAACAGTATGCAAGACACATATGGCAGGATGTCTGGTATGGACCCCAATAACTCCAGCCAGAATACTGCTTACGATGCAGGAAATAACATGAGCTCTTATCGCCACCAACAAATTTTTCAGAACAGTAACAACAGACCATGTCTGCAGCAAGGGAACAGTTCATGTGGAAGTAGTGCAGACAGCCTGTATGGGTCAATGCCAGAAAATGTTCAGTATCTTGGTGAAAATATGGGGAGCATGCCCATATGTAAAACTGAGCCGGGGAGTCAGAACACTCTAAGCAATATGATGACTGGGGAGGGTAGCTCTTCTGGTACTAGCGGTTCTCACGGGAACAGCGAACTGTCCTTGTATGGGCCTCCGTCAGGTGGTATCCCTTACTCCAATAGGTGGGAAGACAACTCAGGAAGTGGTAGATTTTTATCCACGTCACAGCAGTCTGAAGAGAATAAAGGAAAGTGTGAAGATAACATCAAAGAGGAATCTCAGAATATGTCTACAGATGGGAGTACGTTGATTGCTAACAAGGATAAACTAAAGTTAGGGGAAGAGGAGAAGGGTCAGGAGCAAAAGAATAGCTGTAATCCACAATTGAAATCTGTAGACAGCTCTGATCAAAGGATATCTTGTGAAAAGCAACCCCTATCTAGAGAAGGCTATTCTTCGAATGGTGATCCTGCTAAATGTCTTACTGAAATGAAACCGGTCGATTCTGGAACGAATACTGAGCAAGATGGAAAGAGTAGCACAGTAACATCTTGCAACATGCAACAGAGTGGCAATATTCCGCCATCCAGTTTGAAGACAGAAGATAAAATTAGTCTTAACTGCTCAAACGAAACTCAAACTGATATCCCACTGATTCTGACTAATAATTATGGTAACTTAAATGTTAAATCTGATATGTCAACTCAGCATAATGCATTCAAAATGGAGTCGGGTGTGTTTAAAAGTGATGGTCAAGCTTTCGAGAGAAATTCATCCCCACATCTCCGAGATGTGAAGGAGTATGAGCTCGGTAATGACAGCAAGGACAGAAAAGCTAATGACAGTGCAGATGGGAGGCGGTGTGAATCCATGGTCGAGAGTAAGGATGCTAGCTGTGGGACACAAAATTTTGATTGTCCCAAGGATCTCAACCTGAATGAAGGGAAACAAGTAGTGGAGTTAGGAGCAGGTGCAGCAAGGAACATGGGAGGCAGGGAGGATCCTGGAATTCCATATGACTGGGTAAGTGTAAAAATTACTGCATTTAGTCATGTAATTAACGTATTATTTTTACCAAAAGAATATATAAATAAGGCCTTTAAGAGGAAAATTTTATAAGTGAGATTAAAAGCAACCATGTTATGTGGGTCCCATGTCACCACGGCATGGCGTGTCCTCAGGTTGTGGATATAGGAGACACCCTCCAAGTATGGAGGGAAGTTGCAAATATATTGCAACGTGTTTGGTTGACTGGAGACGCCGTTTGTATTGGTAATTGGTTTTATTAACCACTTACAGGTCATAACTACAATTACTTATGGCACACTTGCAGATTTACACAATTCACAGTCATTACATGTTAATCTTCTCATGACGAACTTTCCGTTGCTGTCACTCTTACTGTTAAACACACTGAAACACTCTCAGCCACTCCCAAATACTGACTGAAAACTAACGAACCCTGACTCACTTCTTCGACTGTCTGACTCAATCCTCAGTCCTGCCTGAATAGTGTTTGCTGCTCCTTATATAGGCTGAGCACAGACTGCATAGAAAACAACTGCTGCTCAGCAACGGATATCAGGTATTGTTGTCAGGTGTGTCTACCCACGCATTGCTTAGCAATGGACACGCCATTGTTGCACATCCGTTGCTGTGATATTGTTTACCTGTCTGTTTCCTAGAAATGATTCAGTCTGTCACAATATTGAATAAGCAGTTGTGGACAACCAACAAGGGGTGGTCTTCCTGCTTGGTGATTGGGCATTGGGCTAACAACTCCTCACCATAAGAAATAAGCTGGTTATGAAAATGTCCAAGAAGCCTCTGATCTGGACAGAGTCTGTGGATAAATGACCTAAGCGAAAGAAAATGGATATGAGATTTGGTACTTGGAATGCTAGAAAATGGCTCTTAGAGACATAGGATGGGATGATATGGATTGGACTGATGTGGCTCAGGATAGGGACCATTGGAGGGCCTTTGTGAACACAGTAATGAACCTTCGGGTTCCATAATTGGTGGCTTCTCAAGAAGCGACGAGCGATGAGATTAAAGTGATAGTTTGTAGATCAGTGGATCCAGATAGCACGACACAGATAACCCACAAACACCTGCTTATTATTCCTTGATTAGCATTAAGGTGAAAATCTTGACAGGCATGTAACTTTTGTGGAAGATGAGATTAAAATAAGTTGTCATAAGACAACATTCTATCTCCAGTTGTGCCTGTCTTACTCCATCACACAATGCCTTGATGATCTTCGGTACAAAAATGCCCCATGGAAAAATTTAATGGAAAACATGATTAAAGTTTTCAGTGCATCAACGTGGTATGGATATTCAAGATTATGGGCTTCATCGTGCAGTTTCTTGATGAACACAGAGATAATGCTCCTGATATAAGTGCTACTCCGCAGTGTGGCTGTGGGCTGTATGACCCAGGTTCGATTCCCAGCAGCACTAGATTTTTCTCCTCTACACAGCCTCCAGACAGAATCTGAGGCCCACCCAGCCACCCATCCAATTGATACCAGGGGCGGCTCTTTCCCAGGGGAAGGGGATCAGCAGGGGCGGGAAACTTAGCACTCACGTCCATCTAGAGCCGAGGTCAAGAGAGGTGGATCTGTGTCTCCACTCCCCCATGTTTCTTTATGACATGCTTAAGTAGTTAAGGACAGGGACAGTTTTACCCTTTTTTACCATCATTTTGTAGACAATGCAGTTAAGGTTTAATGCAGTGCAGCGACACAGTATCCATATTCACACTGAAGGACTCACCATGATTCACTGATTAACATTGAGAAAAGAATGCTGTATGACAACAGAACTTCGACCAGTGAATAATTTTCACAAAAAAAAAAAACATTAAACTTTCCCAAACTATCTTGCCATGATGCATTTGACTTTAATTGCATTTGTGAACAAAATTATGCAGCAGTAGAAATTTTTCTCAAAGTTAAAAAATATATTTAATTTTTTTGGCCAAAGGGGCTTTGTAAATTATGAAGAGGTCTAAATTTTGTGATTAAATACAGTGTTATACAATTACTGTCACTAGAGTTTTGCTTTAGTGCCTCAAATGAAATATAGTAAGCATGGCCAACAACATATTGTTATCGGAAGAAAGTTCATTAATAATGTTAAATCATCAAGAAATATTATCACTGCTATTTTCACCATCATATCATAATCTTCATTTCTTCCTCAGTTTCAAGTTGTATGGCTTGTTCAGCTATCACTGGTGCAAATTTTCCATTATTTGATGCATACTCTTACATTTCTCTAGTTCCCTTTAGTTTGCTGTCCAGTCAGTGGGGCACACTGTATCGTAGTTGGTTGAGGCACTTCCTACAAGCCAGAAGGTCGCGGGTTTGAGCCCCAATGAGGTTGTATTTTTTTTTCAGTTGATCTAATCCTTCCAACAGCACTGTGTCCATTAGGTTGACTCAACCTCTAACAGAAATGAGTACCAGGAATCTTCCTGGGAGGAAAAGGTCAGCCAGCTCATCGTAGTTGGTTGAGGCACTATCCTACAAGCCAGAAGGTCACAGGTTTGAGCCCCAATGAGGTTGTATTTTTTTTTCAGTTGACCTAATCCTTCCAACAGCACTGTGTCCATTAGTTTGACTCAACCTCTAACAGAAATGAGACCAGGAATCTTCCTGGGGTGAAAAGGGCAGCCAGCTCATAAGGCTGACAGCCTTACTTATATATGTGAGCTGTTTGTCGAGATAATGTGGGACCCTCAAAGTCTCACAACCTTGTGGGCTTCCATGGCCTGGTACAGGGATAGCTTTACCTCTGTTTGCTGTCCAGCCAGTATTGACCCCTTGATACTGTGGCAAGTAGACCCATTGATAGGCAATGCCCATGATCTAAGAAACTGTACAGCAACTGTTAGTAGACAACAGCCCATAAACAGCAACAGAGGAATGTTGTTTTCAGTGAGGTCCATGCTGAGGTGTTACAAACAGGGCAAGTTAGGAGTGGGGAGTGAGTGGGTTGGTGAGTTAGAGAATTGCTGGGACTCAGTCATAGTGAGCTGTTGCTATGAGAAGCTGGTAGCTTAGGCCGGGGACATTTCGTGAACCCAGAGGAAGGGGAACGTCTCTCATTGGAAACCACACACAGGCAGCAGCTAGTGAAGGCTGTAACAAGACCGAGAAGACCTAGCGTGTCCTGTAGTGATTTGTGAAGTATATAGAACAGTGAACATAATCCTCACATGTATTTATGAGTTTAAAGAGTTCAGTAAACCCTATTATCAATCCAGAACCCATCAGTAGTCACCCTTAAGATCATGAGAATATTGTACATTAAATTTGGAGTTGAAATGAAATTAAGACACACATACATACATTTCCTCTCTTCATTTCAAGTTAATGAACTTTTCTTACATAATTTATGTTCACCTTTATATTGTTCATGTCATACCAAACTGTATTACCACTTTGTAAACGTTTATTGTTTATTTTTCTGCTGAGTGGTTACATCTCATGACTTTGGACACATCTAATGACTATGCCGCATTATATCCTTCTGCATTATATGGGATAATATTGAACTTCAGCTTAGTGTCCCATGTAAATTTTTACTTTCAATATCTTGTTGATCTGAAAACCTTAAAATTTTTTTTCTTTAAAATGTTGATAAAATTATTACTAATATTTTGCTGTTTCTCTGCAATATATGCCTCTTTTTTTCTGCTTAGTGGGGGGTGGAGTCCAACTGGGTCCACTTGGCACAGCTGCCACTGATTGGCCTATTGTATCTGCCCCGAGTGATTGTGATGATGGAGAATTTGGTGGGATGAAGATTGGCAGGGGAAACCGAAGTACTCGGAGAAAACCCGCCCCAGTGCCACTTTGTCCACCACAAATCCCACTTGACCAGTCCTGGGCTCGAACCTGGGCCACCGTGGTGGGAAGCCAGCGACTAACTGCTTGAGCTATGGCCTGGTCAATATATACCTTGGCTGAACTGCTTTATGTCAGCTTTGCAAGCTTTCTCTTTTTTTTCCTGTTTGAATACGTCTATGCAGATTTGAAACCTTTAAAATTTAACACTACCATCTCCACCATCACCACCAGTGCACTGGAGCAAGCTAGCATGGGTCTCTCACTAACCCTCACAATCTATATTCCCTACAGAAGGGTCAGATACATTGTAAGATGAGACACCGACTAAACAGTTAACGTTAAAACTATATTACATCTACATCACGGGCCTCCAAGCAGTTTCTTACATACGAGTATACATGTCTGAATATATTGTACCATTATTTCCATGGGAATACAACAAAATTGCAGCAAACTGACTTGATGGTGTAGAATATCACGTGAAGAGTTGTAACCTTATTTTACATCATAATTTTCGTTTTAATAAGTTTATATTTCATTGTACTTGTATACCATGTATTTTATAATGTATTGTCAAGTATCCAGCTTGACCATTGTAATTGCAGTTCAGTAGTGTGTGAATATGGGAATCATGTTTTCCTGATGATGGCTTTTATAGCCGAAACATGTAGCCAAGCTAATTTTAGCCTTGACCCTTATAGTGTTGTGTTGTGATGGACTCTAATAAAGAACTTACACATTTGCAGTCCAGAGGTATTAACCTATTTAGGATCTATGGAATGCAAATAAATTCAATTCAATTCAATTGAATTCCTGTCTATGGGCCACCTCCCATATACACTCATGCACTTGGCCATGTCATGTTAACAAGGTACCCTCTAAGATTTCCATTTATGTTATAGAATTTAAATAAGAGGGACATCTATTTCAGCTAATAATTTCTGTATGGCATTTTAAAATGCACATAAACAATGTTCTGTATAGTTAAATTGTTTAAAATATGAATTCATCATTTGTTTCAGGCCACAGAATTGCTGAAGAATTATATCCCAGGATCTATCGAGAACTCAGCAAAAATGGAAGTACTGTTTTGTATTTTGGAGGAGTCGATGGCGCTAGGAGATCGTATGCTTGTCTTCAGTCAATCTCTTTTTACTTTGAATCTCATAGAAGATTTTCTTCAACGGAACAACTTACCTGGAAGACAGGAAAAATGGGCTCGGAACTGTAATTATTATCGTAAGTGAAGGAATTACTGGGTTTTTGCACTTTTTCCATTGTCAAGTGTTCTAGAGACTAGAAAACACGACACTTTGGAAACTGGATCTGTTTCTGTCCTCCGGTGGTGCGGGAGAAGACACATACTCAGTTGGGTCCCTTGCAGAGAGCCAACTTCAGTGACTGGACAGCTGCTGTCAGATTCACACGGGTTGTGCAGTTAAGCTTAGCTCTCTCTAAGGGATCCAAATGAGTATGTGTCTTCCCCCCCCCACCTGAGGCTGGAAACAGATCCAGTTTCATAGTCCCTAGAATACCGGATGATGAAAAAAGTCCAAAAACCCATAATTCGGAGTGTTATACACCATCGTCAGAATTCTCTATAATCTACTTTTAAGTGAAGGAGCTTGGTAACCTGTATGAACCGTGTTGTGACGATTAGGGTTGGCACATCATGTTGCCCAGTTGGCTGAGTATTTTGCTTTTTCGATAATTAATACCATTACCTCCCAGTTAAAACGTGGCTTCCAGATGTAGAAGCAGGAAGTTAAAATCTCCTGTACCCTGATGAACTCTTACCCCCAGGTTAAAATATTGCCACTGTGAAACCCTATTCCCAGCCAATAATTGTCAGGTCTTTTTTCTTCTAAACTTCTAGGCTTTATGTATGCAGACTGTAGGTTGCATGAGTCTGCCTGCTGCTCATAGTATAAACATAGAAATGTCCTTAGTCATCAGGATATCAGTTTGGACCTTCATATTTTCTGGGTTTTTCGTCATATCTGCTGTATGTTTTGTGACATGCCTCCATCCTCAGTGTAGAAGAATTTCTTTTTCATTATTGCTACAGCCCCAATTTGGGCCTTGGTCTACCTCCATGAAACTCTCCGTTTCACTTCGGTTTACTAGATCTTAGACATTCGGTAGGACTCCTTGGGTGAGTGATCAGCTCGTGGCAAGGCCTCTACTTGTATAAGAACACAGAAAAATGCACACACACACACACACACACACAAACACTAAACATCCATGTCCTGAGTGGGATTCAGGCTTCTGAGTGAGCGAAGACAGTGCATGCCTTACACCGCTCGGCTACCATGACCGGCTGGTAGAGGAATACTCCACTTTTTTTCAGAGTGAAAACTGTTTCAAACTAAAGTTGTAGAGAAAAATGAAACATTTATGTTTGGTACACTCTTTTCTTTCTTTCCTTCTATATATATATATATATATATATATATATATACACACATACATACATACATACATACATACATATATATACAGGGTGTCCCAGGTGTTTTGTTCCATACTTCAGGAGTGTACTGAGGGTTTCCTATAGAACAACTTTGAAATAGGAACCCATGTCTGCAAACAAAATAGCAGCGCTAGGGTGGCCTTTAATGCCATTTTGTTTAAACTTGGCGCCTCAATGTCAAAGAGCATGCACAGGCATATTACCCCCACCAAACTCTTAAGACTCACTCACTAGAGTAGATGTTGGAATTGGCACCATCCATTTTCAATGCATGTGTTACATCAATGAAAGAAACTCTGGAGCACCCTTTCAAATATTCCAGGTGTTTTCCGGATCACGTCACATGCAACAAGTATCCTGGCCAACAGCTCGAATTCATTATCCACAAGCATGTTGTAGATTAGGCTTTTCACATGGCCCCAGACAAAATAGTCCAGAGGTGTCGAGTCTGGGGATTGGGGTGGCCAAGGCACTGGGCCTCCTCTTTCTATCCAACAGCCATGAAAAGCAGCATCCAGGTAGTCTCGTGATACAACGCTGAAGTGTGCCAGCGCTCTGTCATGCTGTATCCACATTTGCCTCCGCACAATCAGTGGCACATCTTCTAGCAAAGCTGGAAGGATACGTTCCAGGAACACCTTGTAAAAGGGCCCATTGAGTCACGGTGGTAGGAGGAAAGGCCCAATCAAGTGATCGCCAATGATGCCCACCCAGACGTTGACAGAAAATTGCGCTTGGTGGTAACCATCTACAGTAACATTGGGATTTTTGTCAGCCCAAACATGGCTGTTTCGACAGTTGAACCAGCCATCCTTTGTAAACTGCGCTTTGTCTGTGAATAGCATGTGATTCAGGAAGTTGGGCTGATCTAAACACTGGTTCAGTATCCACTGACAAAATTGAACTCGTGGTACAGAGTCAGCTGGAACTACATCGTGTACTCGGATTGGATGATACGGATAAAGTTGTTGGTCATGCAGGATCCTCCAAACACTTGATTTTGATGTCCCCACAATCTTGGCAATGGCACAAGTGCTGGTGGATGGCTGTTCCTCTCTGCAATGCAGTTCGACATTGAGGCGCCAAGTTGAAACGAAATGATTTTAAATGCTGCCCTAGCGCTGCTGTATTACGTTTGTGGACATGGGTTCCTATTTCATAGTTATTCTATAGGGAACCCTCTGTATGCTCCTGAAGTATGGCACCAAGCTCCTGGGACACTCTGTGTTTAAGGGCTTGATGGCTTTTGAGATAATTGACAGATAATGTGCTACGTGTACATTTCTGAAATTTTGTCTTCAACAGTCATGGTCTGCTGATCGCTCCAAAAACGTGGATGTTCTATTTTTTCAGATGTCTTTCACCTTTCAGTAGCATGAATATTGAGAAGTGTACCATACCATGTTCTTCCAATTAAGAAACATTTTCACCGAATTTGTCTCTCTAAAAATAAGGAGACATTTGATCATATAACTTCAGTGAGAAATGCGTGGCACAGTATAGAAGTGAGTGAAACAGCTTTTCAGAAACTTACTGATGCTGTAGATCAGCCAATGCGGCCCCCATAGCCACAGAGTGCGGCCCCTCAACTTTTAGAGCTAATTGATATTAAAATCAATATTAAAATTTTAGTAGAAATATTTTTTTGTAAAGACAGTTTTCCAACAGACAAGAAGACAAGAAGTCTCACGCAGACATTAATTAGCAGGCTGCAGGAAATTCAATGTTTTGCTATTTCTTACACAATTTCTTGTGTAATCTCTCTTTTTACATATTGAAAAGTTGTTTGATACTCGTCAAAAATGGCATTCTCTTGCTTTTTAAAACTGTAAGATATGTGACTTTAGGTAATTATATTTAAATTATTCCTAAATAATAAATAAAATTAAATTTCCTTGTATCAAAATCTAATGTATATCTCTATTTTGAAGCGCGGTCCTGGACTATTATTTAGAGGGCTGAGGTGGCCCTCTGTACAAGTTGAGTTTGACATGCCTGCTGTAGATAGTAGAAATACATGGGGAAATCTCTCACATATTATGAAGAAAACCATTTTGGTGCAAATTTGGGAATTAATTTTTTGTAAGAATCACTGTTGGGAACAATAGTCACATCTCATGACACTCGAAGTAGCTTAATTAAAGAATGGTACTCAGGAGCAAAGCTGGTGACATTATTACAAAAAGTTAATCAACTCCGTCCAGTGTGACTGATACATTTTTTTTTTCTTCTTTCCTTTTTAATCTTTCATTTTTGACTTGTTTCCATCTTAGAGACCATCATCAGAAGGATATATCAATATGGGCAGAAACTACTATTGCTATTGTGATGGACCAGGATGGACCAAATCAGATGACATTAATTTGCATCAAACCCTATGTTTAACCTTGATTACAGATTTACTGTTGGTATCAAAGATTGATGCATCTAGTTTCATTTTGTATGAAAGTCATTTCTTCTGCGTCTTTAGAGAGCTCAGGATCCTCCCCTTTTTGTTTGCTTACAGATGCGCACAGATGCTCATACACACACATGAACATGTGTACACGTTCTTTATGCTGTACATGAAGAACCGCTCTCTAGGATTTATATCTGTAACAAAGCTGTAATGAAATGTGAAATTTGTGTTAACAGAACATTCAGATTAAGATCGATGTCTGGACGTTATCCTTCATAATTTTTATTTGAAATGACGTTTCATCCTTGTGTCTGTGTTGATAGGGCCCAACAAAGTAGATTTCTTACATAAGGACAGAGACACACCCCATTCTTCGAAACATCATTTTAGTAATATACCATCATCACTGACTTTTGTATCAGGATTTTTATATGTAGCAATTTTCCCTATGAAGGAAATTGTCTGAATATAATCAGTACATCAAAATCTTAGGTACATCATTCAAACATGCATTAGATATGGAGCATATTATTAACAGAGTAGAGGTGCTCACAGCGCTCACTGCAAAGCGTAGTGTCTTCTGAAATGTGGCATTATATAGTATGACAGACGTTTAGCGATGATTTGGTGGCAGCAAACTTGCTGCTTGCTCACCTTACTCTTTAACCCTGAAGACAGAGGCACGTGTTCCTGCAGAACAAATGATAAACTTCTGCCACTCTCCACAGCATCAGATCTCAGAAGTTGGTATTCTTCAGTTTGAACCTAGGGCATCATTCTATCAATGACTATATATTAATTAAAATTTTTTACAGGTCTAGACGGAAGCACGTCAGCACTGGAACGAGAGAAACTGATCAATGAGTACAATTCAAATCCCAACATTCACTTGTTTCTTGTTTCCACAAGAGCTGGTTCACTAGGAATCAACTTGGTTGGAGCCAATAGAGTAATTGTGTTTGATGCTTCATGGAATCCTTGCCATGACACCCAGGCTGTTTGCAGAGTTTACAGGTAATCAATCAAAGTGTGTTTGTACGAGGTGTGTTCAAAAAATGACGGGAATTTCCGTATTTTGGAAAAAATATTTATTCATTCGTCTACATTAATGTTGTCGCCTTCAAAATAGTCCCCATTCGATATTATGCACTTACGCCAGCGCTTCTTCCAATCATCGAAACACTTCTCAAACTCGATTTTTGGGATAGCCTTTAGCTCTTTCAGCGATGCGCTTTTAATGTCATCTATGCTTGTAAAACGACGGCCCTTTAAGGTTCTCTTTATTTTTGGAAATAGGAAAAAGTCACACGGAGCCATGTCTGGCGAATATGGAGGCTGGGGCATCGTTACAGTATTGTTTTTGGCCAAGAATTCACGAACAAGCAACGAAGTGTGAGCAGGTGCATTATCGTGGTGCAAAAGCCATGAATTGTTTTTCCACAAATCCGGGCGTTTTTTTCGGATTGCCTCACGCAAACTTCTCTGATTGTGATTCGGCGATCATTCATAATCATTGCTTTCACTTTTTCCACGTTTTCATCGGTTGTTGATGTGCTGGGGCGTCCGGGGCGCTCGTCATCTGCAACGTCTTCACGGCCATCTTGGAAACGCTTATACCACTCGTAAACTCTTGTTTTACTCATAACAGACTCACCATAGGCCTTTGTTAACATTTCACACACTTTGTAACACTTTATTTCATTTTTTACGCAAAATTTGATACAAATTCTTTGATCCATTTCTTTTAACAAACGAAAATCGCCAAGCTCATAAAAACACGTCTAACCTTAGCGGCTGCCACAGACAAAGTAAGCAATGAATACAGCTGAAAATTTTATTGTACTTCAGGGGCATGTATACCAACATAATAAAAAAAAATTTTTGACAATTGGACTCTCCAAACCCGCGAAATTTTAAAATTCCCGTTATTTCCTGAACACACCTCGTATGTTTGATTAGGAGTGGGAAATTTACATTTCTCAAATATTTTACATATATGTTGATGTCGCATCACCAAAATGTAGGACAAAATTGTAATATAAAGTTAGTTATAGGTTTCTTGAAAATGTGGTACAGTTCAAATATTTTGAAATGACACTAACAAATTAAAATTTGATTCTGGAGAAAATTAAGAAGAGATTAAACTCGGGTAATGCTTGCTACCATTCAGTCCAGAACCTTTTGTCTTCTTGTCTGCTGTTTAAAAACATAAAATTAGAATATACAAATATATAATTTTGCCTGTGGTTCTGTATGGGTGTGAAACTTGGTCTCTGGCATTAAGGGAGGAACATAGACTGAGGGTGTTTGAGAGCGGAGTGTTGAGGAGAATGTTTGGACCAAAGAGAGATGAAGTGACAGGAGGTTGGAGAAAACTGCATAATGAGGAGCTTCATAACTTGTACTCTTCTCCAAGTATAATTAGAATGATCAAGCCAAGGAGGGTGAGTTGGGCAGGGCATGTAGCATGCTTGGGGGAGAAGAGGAAGGCATATAGGACTTTGATGGAAAAGCCAGAAAGAAAGAGACTGCTAGGAAGACCTAAGGCATGGGTGGGGGAGAATAACATTAAAATGTATCTAAGAGAGACAGGATGGGGTGGTATGGACTGGATTGATCTGTCTCAGTATAGGGACCAGTAAAAGCTCTTATAAAGACAGTAATGAATTTTCAGGTTTCATAAAATGTTGGAAACTTCTTGAATGACTGAGCAACTGGCAGCTTCTCAAGAAAGGTTCAGCTCCATTGAGTGAGTGTGTTAGTCTGATTAGGGGAACACTTTGAGAGAAAGAAAATGATACAAGTAACAAAGACTGGCTGTCATTGGGTTGAATCAACTCCCAGAGTGATGGTCCTTGCAGCCACATAGTAGCTAACTGGTGACTTGTTTGAATGGCTTAATAGTAGAATATGAAATAAAATTCTTTCGAACTGGGTAATAGTTATCGAATTAGATTCTGTGCCTGTTTAATAATCTTTCTTGCTATACTGAGACTGTGAAAATAGGTCCCATGGATAGACCCTCCCCCTCCACACTCCTTCAAGCCATTACACTTCCCACTCCCTATAGTCCTCTCCACTCTAGCGATTCTGCTCACATGAATGTCTATACTGATAACCGTGTGATTACCTATTTAAAGAGGTTCCATGATTTAATGATCCCCAGCTTCACATGCATGTGACAAAGTGAGCACCAGCTTTGTGGAAGAATGTAACACTGTTGCCAGATCATGAAATTGACTCAGACATCAAAGAGTGCAGTCACAGGCTTGCACTGCTCGGAGTACATCCCGTTACCTCTAGCAAAAGAGTCTTCTAAAATAAAACACAATTGGTAGTGCACCTGGCCAACACATGACTTTCAGCCAGTACAGTTTTGAGGCATACACTGCTGGATGCTACAAGAGATTGTTAAATCATTGCTAGACTGTAGTGACAGGAGCTTGCATGAAGCTGGCTAGATGGGGCTCGAGTTAATGCAATAGGCAGAAAAGGGAAACACCATTCCCTTCATCCATAAGACTCATTATAGGTTCATTTTACATTATTATAGTTGGATGTAAATTGCCATTTAAGTATGCTTGTTTATTTCTTATGTTGTTGGTACCCCGACATGTTTCTTTATCATGAGACCATCCTCCAGGGCATTATATGAAAAGGAAACCATACATTACTCTTTGTTGCATTTAGGTATGGGCAAAAGAAGCCGTGCTTTGTGTATCGCCTTGTTATGGACAACTGTTTGGAGAAGAAGATTTATGATCGGCAGATAAACAAACAAGGGATGGCGGACAGAGTTGTGGACGAATGCAATCCTGATGCCCATCTGTCCATCAAAGAGGTCACTAATCTATGCTGGGATAATGAACAAGACACAGAACCCAGGGACTTCAGTGCCGAGAAGGACAAATACATTGACGTAGTCCTGCAGAAGGTCCTGGACAAGTTCAGCAGTCGTCTCTCGAAAGTATGTTGGTTTTTCTATGTTATTTATTACTTATTTATGGACACACTGTGGTGGTCAGGTTATGTAGCATCAAATGATTGGGGTGATAATGAATGTCATTATCATAATTTAAGATACAGGCCTCTGGACACCTGTTACGGATATTATAAAACAGAATCCTTCCATCATTTCAGATGCCTTTCCAAACTTCTTTAATGTTCAGTTGATATAAACTTGTGTGTTGTATGTGTGACTGTAGAAGGGGGTTTGGATATTGGGATTTATTGACCACTTACAGGTAATAACTACTGGTAATTATAACACTGTCGCTGTTCCAAACACTAAGTCCTTTCCAGTTAGCAGTGTGTTCACTAGATGTTTCCTGGTAGTGGCTTCTAACATTGAAAGTTCTTCACCTTCTGTATGTATGTTGTTACTATCCAGTGAATATCCCACAATGGAACAGAGCTCTAAACTTTGTTCTTTTTATAATCCCTTAGCATGGACCACACAGAAGACAGTTCTTCTGTTGTTGCGTATGTGTACATTCTAGTTTGCAACAGTCACTGTTTACAGAGTCATGTCCCAGATACCTGTCTGGTATGGAGCCAGTAATAAGTTGTTCAGACACACTACAACACTGAAATACAATAATCTTTAGTTTTGGGAATTTCTTGATGAGATGAGCTACTGTTAGCTCTTCAAGAATGGCTCAGCAATAATGGAGCTGATACACTACTGCATCATAACTTCAGAGTAGTTGAGCTACTGCACTGTCTCAATGCAGTAACGTCTGTGTTGCTAAGATGAGTAAAATAATATAAAATGAAAAACTAAATTAAAGATCTCTTGCATGCTCTTATTTTGGTCAGGTCTTTATGACATATTTTAATATATTGGAAATGTACTTTTGTTGTGTGTATTTTTTTTTATTGGTAGTCGGGTGGACCAAGTCCATTGTACTGCGGCCACTTCTGGCCTATTGTACGAGCCCCAGATGATAGGTGAGGGTGATTGTGGAGCAACTGGTGGAATGAAAATTTGGAGGTGAAACCGAAGTACTCTGAGAAAACCTGCCCCTGCACCACTTTGTCCACCACAAATCCCACTTGACCAAACCCGGGAAGCCAGTGACTAACCGCTTGAGCTATGGCGCAGCCCTTTGTTGTGTGTAAATCTGATCCCATATTGTAAATAAACTTTTCTAAGATCCCTAATATGTTTTTCCTAATTTCCTGTTTGTCCTACAACATATACATCTATATGTATAAAGCATAACCTTTTTCCTATTGTAACTTCTTCGTATTGAGCCATTTATTATACAGTAAGTTCTCTTTCCTAGCTGCCTCCATAGTCTAGGGGTAACGTTCCCACCTTGTGACTCAAGGTACGCGGGTTCAAACCCAGCGGAGGTCATGGAATTTTTAAGGGCGGAAAAATTCAGGGAACAAGTCCTCCGGGAGGGACTTTAAGCCGTGGGTCCTGTGTCATAGCTTTACGGCACGTAAAAGAACCTCATGTCCCAAGGGGACCTCTGAGCCAAATTCAGGACATTTCCCACACAACAGTAGTCTCTAATGCCTCTGGTAGATGGGGGAAGCATCGAGATACCGCTGAGCCAGTAGAGGACGAACTCGCTGGCTGAGTCGGGACTGATGGCACGCACCAGTACTGGTAGGGAATAGAGACTGGTAGAGTATCACAGGGGGACGCACAATGGACCAACAGTTGGTCTAAGTGCATGGGGAAACCCACCCTCTCCAATAACAACAACAACAACAACAAAGTTCTCTTTCTTGATCACAGATACAGTGGAACCTCGTTTAATGAGCATAATTCGTTCCAGAATCTTACTCGTAATGCGAAACACTTGTTAAGCGAAATAATTTTTCCCATATAAATTAATGTAAAATACGATAATGCGTTCTATGCTGAAAAAAAATACTAAAAAATTTTATGTATAACGTTTATTCAAAGAAAATTATATATACATTGTTAAGGAGTGTGAATCATCTTCATCTTTTCTTCTATGCAGAATGAACCAACCTGGAATGCAAGTACAATTTGCAGAAAAAAAAATCGAAATAATTAGTTTATTATTTATGATACATATCTAATTCTTTTTTTACTAGAAAGCTGTCTAGAGACATTTGTTTTTGCCGACGCTTCAAAATTTGGAGAAAATGCGACGCAGCATTATCATTAAATAAATTTGTAGCGCTTATAGCCACTGCCTTATTAGGGTGATCCTTCTCAGTGTACGATGCAACAGTTCCCCATGCTTTCAGCATTTCTCTTATTGCGCCAGAAGATTGTTGCTTTGCTGTTACCTCCTCCTCCTCCTCTGACAAACTCTCCTCCACAACTTCTTGCTGTGAAACACAATGCAACTCCAAATCGTGCAAATCGTTGATGTAGACCGACTGTATGTGCGTGCTAGATCAGCCACGCTCACACCTCGTTCTCGCTTTTCAGTGATTTTACATTTCATTTCTACAGTTATTTTTATTCTCTTATGGCTGTCTTTTTGCGGCTTTTTCTTTGGGGACATTTTTGCAAGGGTTATTAAACTTTGCACAAAAAATAATCACAAATAATAGGTCTGAACACAAGTTTGGAAAAATTTGTGATCACAAGTGACACTAAGATGCTAGCGGAACGAGTGCTAAACACAGACTGATGTAGCAAGCAAACAATCCGGGACTTCCCCTCTCGTCACTCGTTATGCAAAATGTCGCTCGTTAAGCGAGTCATTTTTTTACAATTTGCTTTGCTTGTTATGTGAATTACTCGTTAAGCAAGGTTCCACTATACTGACTTTTCTATTTCTTGAGTACTCTAAATTTCTGAAGGCTTCATGTGTTTCTTATTGTTGTAGTTCCCTGTTCTCTCTCAGCATTGTTATATGACCTCTAATTTGGTGACAGAAATGTTTGAATTTGTTTCTGATTACATAATACAGTAACCTTACACTGTTGCTGGTATGTGGCTGACTAGGGAGCTCTGAGAAGCAAAATTTGACATTGCTAAATTGTCAGATATTTAAAATTTAATAACCAGCTAATCAGCTTTGTCATACTCCCAAATTCTAGTTACTCCTCATTGTGAGACTCATAATCTAGCAGAGCCTCAATCCAGTGTATTGTGCTTGCGTGTTGGGTTTAGTTTTGGGAATTTGGCTGAGAATTTATAGACGTAATCTATTCCTTTCCTTATCCCTGTGTTTCTAGGAACCATTCCAGCATGAAAGTCTGCTTGTTGATCGCAAAGAGAAGAAGCTGTCTCAAGCGGAGAAGCGGTTAGCAAAGAGATCGTACGAGTTGGAGAAACAAGCCAACATCAACTACAGCCATAGACCTCAGTATTCATACTATCCAGGCGGCACGTCAGCTGTCGGCAATGCCGGCATTCAGGGAACGGGGCTACAAATAAGGTCAGATGTGATGAAGTGGTTTTGTGGTCATGTTGAACATGTGTTACTACAGCGAGTTCTTTAGACATTGCAGCCATGATGAAATGCCAGAAAACTGAAAATTTAAACCATTTAAGATCCAAATAGATTCTAAAGGGTTCTGACGATGGTGAATAATACTCAGAATTACTGAGTTTTTGAACTTTGTGCATGATCCAGTATTCTAGACACTAGTCCAGCGAATGAGATTAGCTCTTTCTAAGGGACCCAACAGAGTAGGTGTCTTTCCAGTTTTTGATACTTCATGTATTCTAGTTTCTAGAATACTGGACAATGGTCAGAGTCCAAAAACCTAGTAATTCTGAGCATTTGAGACCCAGTAGTGCATGAGTTACAGTCACTGTTCATACTGGTCATCCGGGTTGTGATACCATATAGTTCTTAGACGGATACTGCTTCAGCGGAACACGCTGCCTACATTTTCAGGATTGAAGTGTGCAGGGTGAGGAACTGGATGGGTTATGTAAACATGTTGTAAGGTAAGTGATGCTTAGGATAGAAACAGAGACCACCAATCCAGGCCAATATGTCTCAGGAAGAATCTTGTAGAAAGCTGCTGTGTAAATAAATGCTTGAATTATAGAAATTAAAACCCTCGTTAGGATTAGGTCCTGTGGTCTCATTTAAAATTGCAAGAAATAATTTTATGCTTTTTTTCAACCATCGTAGCCCATTTTTCATATCAATCTAATACACTACCAGATCATTTCTTTAAAATATAAAACTAATTAATTTTAATCTCTCATTTTCAGATGTCTTAAGTCTCTCTTGAGACTCATTTCACATTTTCAATACTCAATAGAACTCTCAGAATTGTTTATATATTTGTTTTTATTAAATTAAGTATCTCAGGATACCGATCATGCTAGAATATCGAAAATGCATCTCCATACTGTGGTCCCTTCCCAGGGCTATTAGAACAGATGGGTCTGGAGGAGTAATGCCGAAACCAGTGGCCAGTGTACGTCCCATGCAGGCGGAGTTGAGTCAGCAGCTGGAACGAGGACAGGCGAACCGTTCCACAGTTACAACACTTAACACAAGTGGCCGTTCGAGATGGATTCCAGCAGAAGTGTGGCAGAGGCAGGGCATGTCTGCCCAAGAAATGACTCTTCCACTCGGTATGTATCATCAGTGTTATTTTTCTAGTCAGCACCTCATAATTTTGTTGGCAACCAAGTAGACAAGTGCAGGAAAATGCTTTCTTGTATGATGGCTCTTTGTGGACTCTTCAGAAGGCAAATGTTTGCTTTGATTACATGATAAATTAATCCATTCTCTTGGTCATCTGTCTCATTTTTGTCATATCTCGGTAGTGTTTATATTATTAGGTTGTAGCATCCTGTTGTACGTTATTAATTAACAGATGTCTCTGATGCAGCATTTTTTTTTTAAATTTTGTTTAACCTTTATCAGCCGGGCCATTTAAATTCCAGTAATGGCCGCGGGCCGGAGTTAATTTAAATGCCCGCCATTGTAGAGTAATAAAAATTGTAATCATGTTACTCAAAATGCTGTGATTTCTACAATTTTTGTGGTGAATGAATGACATAAACGCTACTTTTATCTAGAAAGAATATAGAATCAGATATTGTAATTTACAGATTTTAGAATCTGTAAAAATTGTTACATTGATTCCAAAAAAAATTTTTCCCCAATTTTGAGCGTCTGTCCGCAAAAATGCATAAAGCTTCTGCACAAAACGTTTCTGCAGTATAAATGCATGCTGCTGACACACTATCTATATTTTATCTGGCAAGAGGAGAGGAAGTTTATGTGTTCATTGCACATTCTCCAGTCACGTTGGCTTACTGTATACACGAGTGTGGGCGAGTTCTTATCCTACTTTGTCCTTATGAAACTCTGTCTGTTTATATGTCGGACTAAACACACAGAGGTGCTGTTCTTGGAATACCCCCTCAATGCCCCTTGCGTCCTCGTCCCTTCAGAATCAACTGTACCACATTCTGAATGGCGTGATTTACGAGTGGCCTCTCAATTTCGGCTCTTCCATGTGAAATGGGGCCATGGTGCGTAATTGAAATGCGATGTTTTATAAACGTTACGAATAGAGGAGACCACTCGCCATCACTGGCCTACTTCCTGCTAATATGAGACTGATGTGTGTGTGCGCTTTGCGTGGAAAACAGAGTTACATATGGACAAAGTGCATGAATTGCGACGTTGGACTCTGCATTCAGTTACATGCAACATTCAGTTAGATGATGCAGGAGGGAAGACAGTCTACTTATAAAGCTGGTGTCCAAAAATAATATAAGTAGAACAAGAATTTCTGTCTTAAAATTAGTTTCTAAACACTGTGCGCACGCGTGGACTGCGAGTCACCATACAGAGTCGTTCGGCCACTCGGCTTTACTTTGAAGGTCCCCATACGGTGTCTTTTGGCTCATAAAGGTTAAAAGTCTTTTAAACTTAATTTAGAAACCACATTGTCCACTACATGTTTTGACCATCATTGGTCGTTATCAGGTGTTTTAAAAACTGTTGTGTGGAGACTGCTGTGCTCGTGATTTTACTTCTAATCTAATGTGTAGCCCCATCACACATCCGTGTTTTTTTTTGGTGCTGCATGTCTGCATGGTCTGAACACACACCACAGCAGGAGACAACATGCAGCACCATGAAAAGCACAAATGTTTGATGGGACTACACATCAAGCACCAGAAGTGCAAATTGTAAGCATAGCAGTCTCCAAAAACAGTTCTAAAACACCTGATAATGACCAATGATGGTCCGAATATAGTGGAAAATGTGCTTTTTTAAAGTAAGTAGTAGTAACTTTTAAACAAAAATGTTTAAAAAGTGTTGCATGTAAGACAGAACATCAGAAGCAAGTGTATACGTATTTCTGGTGTACTACTCTGTCCAAAAAGTATCCGACCTTGGGCTGGAAAAACAAGGTTCTGTATCTGGGTGGTTACAATACCTAATCCCCTTCAAAGTAGGCCCCTTTTGACTCCACACACTTAGCCCAGCAGTCCTTCCATCGCTGGAAGCAGTTCTGGAAGGCTTCTTTTGGAATGGCTTGCGGCTGCACCGTCACATTCTGTATGATATCCTCCTGTCTGTCGAAATGGGATCATCTTAATGGTGTCTTCAATCTTGGGAACAGCCAGAAATCACAAGGAACCATGTCAGGAGAGTAGGGATCCTGATGAACCTGTGGAATGCCAAACTGTATCACAAATATGGTGGAGGACTTCTTGGTAGTACTCCCTATTGACAGTTTGGCCTAGTGGTGCATACTCATGATGCACAACCCCCCGGTTAAAAAAAAAAAATCGGTATCACCTTCACATTGCTCCGAACCTTTTGTGCTTTTTTGGGCCTCAGGGATATTGGATGCTTTCATTGTGACGGCTGGACCTTGGTTTCCGAGTCATATCGTCATATCCGTACACCCACGACTCGTCACCAGTGATCACAGTCTTCGGGAACTCAGGATCCCTGTTGGCGCACTCCAGCATGTCCTGCGCGACCTCAAGGCGGAGTTGTTGCTGCTCCGGCGAAAGCAGCTTGGGCACAAATTTTGCCGCCACTCTTCGCATGCCCAAATCCTCAGTTAAAATTGTGTTTGCGGAACCTCTGCTGATACCAACCTCATCAGCAATTTCCAGGATGGTCAAATGACAGTCCTCCACGATCAGTTTCCACACTTTTTCAATGACATCAGCATTACGGCTCATTGACGGTCTCCCAGAACGCTGGTCACTGCCCGCCGACATACAGCCATCTTTAAAGCGGTTGAACCACCCTTTAATTTGAGTGACCCCCATTGTATCATCGCCGAAAGCCTGCTGAATTTTGCAGATTGTTTCTGCTTGGGTATCCCCAAGTTTCTGACAAAACTTGATGCAGTATCGCTGCTCCAAGTATTCTGTCATCTTGAGCGAAATGAGAATGCGACGAACACGTGTTACACCACTTCGCTATCTGGCAGCCACAGATGCATCCGGCAGTGTTGTGAGTCAGCAAAAAATCACACATGTGCATGGAAGTCTCTTCTACCACTATGCTCAGTTTCCCCACCTCTTTGGCCATTACTTACAGCAACAGAAAATAAAGTCAGATACTTTTTGAACGGCGGCGTATTTAACAACACTGTCTGTAGCTAATAGTAGATGCTCCTCCAGCGTGGAGGTTACATGGGGGCTAGCAAATCTTTGCTATAAAAAAAGCACACTATAGAATGTTATGCGGGGTCTCAGGTATGACAGACTCTGAACTTCTGTAGAAGGCAGGGAATATCCTGTTTAGCAGAGTGACCATTGATTTTCCAAAAACTGTGCACTATATATGGACCTGGGATAGTGTAGTTGATATAGCAACTGGCTACGGGCTGGACAACTGAGGGGTCAGAGTTTGAGTCCTAGTAGGTTCAAGAATCTTCTGTTCTCCAAATCGTCCAGAATGGATCTGGGGCCCATCGAGCCTCCTATCCAATAGATACCGGGGGCTCTTTCCCTGGAGTAAAGTTGCAAGAGTGTGAAGCTGACCACTTGCCTCCAGCTAGTGCTGAAGTCAAGAAAGTGTGGATCTGTACATCCATTCCCTCATATGCATTCATGGCATAATACCTAATTAGTTAAGCACAAGGACAGGTTTGCCTTCCCCCCCCTCTGTGCCCCATATATACTGAAGCAACATAAGAAACCCTTTGAATGGTGGAGATGGCAGCGCCCCCACATTTCACCCTATCATTGTATTCCTCTCTGCTCAGTGTGCTTGTCATGTGGTTGTAACAGTTTCATAAGCAGAGTGGCGAGACAGGAAGGGAATGTACATAAGTGGGTGGACGGAGGAAGGGTAAGAACTCAAAGGAGGAATGCAGGGAGTCAGTTATGGGACTTATGTCTGTAGTTTCAATGTCATTAGTACATTTTTTAGCCAGTAGTTAAGGATATCTACGTAGTGTCACATGGCCAGAGTGGAAGTAAATAATGAATTGGAAAGGATGTGGATTGAAGCAGTTACAACCTAGTGTTAGGTGCTGTCCTGGAATTTGTCTGGAGGAACTAAAGAAAGCCACAGTTAATGTCAGTTGTGTTGTAGCCTCAGAGCGGAGATTTGAACCTAGGGCTTCCCACATAGGAAGTAGGAGTTCTCCCTGTTTTGACAAATGCAGTGAGTGGTCTGCAAAATAGTGACCACAATACTGCAGCACTCAGGCTGTATAGATTTGGAGACAGATGTGCACCCTGAGAACTGAACAGAAAAGAATTAACATGGGAAAGGCACAAGACAGTACTGAGACTGTTGGATTTTAGGTTTTAATGTCAGTGATTATCAAGAGTACAGTCGTAAGGATTGTAATACCTTTTAGTTTGCAGAGAATGCAACTTTTTGAAGGAACATATTGCCTCCATCTTCAAGGTGAGGTTTCTGCCTGCTTCTACTGGTTTTTTGTTTGGCTTACACTTCAACCTTGAAGATGGAGGCAGTATGTTACACTTTTTCTAAACAGTGTATTATTATAACCCAGAAGAATGCAAGGAAAACCTCAAAATCTAGGATATCACAAATGGTTTCAAAACGGTGAGAGCATCAGAAAGAATGATGGCTACCCTTAATTACTGGAAACAAGTTTCTTTGAAATGTGTACCCTTAGGTATTTGCTTTTGTGCTCATTTCAGATGTTGTAATCCCCACCAACTCTCCAGACCGAGCTTCCATAGTGCTGAAGGCAGGACAGCGTGTTATGGTACTTAAGAGTCCCAAGGGAATCTATATGCAACTGGAGAATGGAAAAATTATAGCTATTCGAACAGCGTTCAAAGTGGGTGGTGCAGGCAAGGGATCTGCGGCACAGCAGCAAGAATGCAAACCTCCTCTTGAGAAAGCAGAAATGAACACTCCAGAATATAAGAAAGGTGCACTTCCCTTCATTGTATCACTATTTCCAACTGAAGTCTTCTTTATAGTCACATGGCACGGATCAACCCTATTGTTGTGTGTTTACTGGTCTGTTGCCTAGAAACGCGTTCTTCTGTTGTTGTGTGCATGTTCATTTCCATGGGAACCCGTTTACTGAGCCGTTGCCTAGCAGTGAACTAGTCCTTTCAGGCGTCATGTCATTTGTACAATGAAAGCTTTTGAGAAATTTTTTCAGCTTAAATTGAATGTAGGGGAGATACATGGACTGTATTTAACCCTTTCACTGCTAGTATGATAAGTAACTCTCAGTACCCTCTGTGCCTGAATTATTTTTGAATAAATCTTTTATAAACAATTTAAGTGCAAAGTATGAAAATGTGTGATAAAATGTAACTAATCTTACCTCAGACAGGGAACAGGCAGCAGAAGTTGCAAAAATGTTGAATTATTTAGTATTTTTCACAAGGGAAAAGTCCATTTAAATCAGGGTTGTCCAAGATGGCCAGAAAAGTACATAATTCACTATCCTAGTCTTATCACTGTCACATGTTGACCAAAGTCCACAACTTTATTTGAAACTATTATAGAAAGCGCTGCGCACTATATGAAGTAATTTTTACTAGCCCTGTAAAATACCCTCACCACATGACAACGGACCACGTCCCTTGCTGTGCAGATGCATTGTTTTACATTTCTTAAGCTAGAGGCCAGAAGAATGCAGCCATTGAAATTAATGATGCATCATTATGTTCCCAGTGGATGACTCTATGCACCTGCCAAGTTTGAACGAGGTTGGTGCAAAGAAACCTGAGATTTGATACTCTAAAGTCGCAATACAGGTTTTGTCAATTGCAGCAAGGATGCCATATTTTTCAGAGATCGACATATGTTGACCGCAGCAATGTAAGAATTAAATATGTGTCTTTCCACTTCTGTTTCTCCTGTTACCAGTTAGGGCCCTCCCCTCGCAGTATATTCAGTGAGAAATGATCATCTCCATCAGCATTCCTGTGGTAATTTAAAATCTATTGAATCTATTGCTGTAGTTTCTTAACAGGCTTTATCCTCCTTTTTCAGAGAGCAACGCCCCTACAATAAATCGAACAGTGAATATGGCCAAAGTCAGCAATGTGCTTCCATTCAAGAATAACTCTGCCATCACAATAATTCCAAAGAATACTGCACCGCAGCAGCGAGGGGCAGGCAAGCCAATGAGTAGAGTAGGGGGTAACAGCAGTGGGGGTGGAATTTTGAAACAGGATGTGACCGTGAAACCCTGGGGCCCTAGGATTGGTACATCAGTTGACGTTGCCCCTGTAACCATGGGAGGTAACAAAAACATTAGTTCTCAACAGCCAATGGTGCAAGCAAGGCCGTACTTCCATCGCACCAGCGCTAACAACAGCACAGGTAACATAAATGAGATTTGAGTTTCTTGTCATGGTGACTGGAGAGTACCGTCTTCATGGCTATAGTGCCATGTAATTTGGTAAAACTTCACTGACTTTTTGGAGGAACGTATCTCCTCCATCTTCAGGGTCAAACATATCCCAAGCAAGCAACAAGCAGAGCATACTACTGGTTCTTGCATAGCTTATTTTTCGAGCCTGAAAATGGAGGCGACATATTCCTCCAAATTGGATATTGACTTTCAGCAGACTACAGGGCATTATATCATACAAGATGGTACTCTTAACTCTTGTAACTATTGAATATGAATCTTCCTATACTTTGTGGCATCCTTTATACAGTGAAGTTATTTATTTGTTCCACAACGTTTCTATATACACATGTATTTAAACCTTCAAAGGCTCGTCTTCAAAGTGATTAATTCATTGCTAATAATAAAAACGCATTTCTTCAGAAGAAGACGTGGGAAATGATCTTTGAGAATTGAAATATGTCCATTGCATGTGGTAAAGGACAGTTGCACAAGTAAGTAATTTGATGGTTTAATCTAATGAAACGCTATAAATTTTTTACAGTGATTTATCGTGACACAACATAAATACTTTCAGTGCATACTTTTTTGATCTCTTCATAAATGTGCAGCTTTCTGAGATGTTTATATAAGTTTGTACACATGCAAGTGATCTGATAGGTCTGTATTCATGGTCCATTATCACAAATAATGTTACGTATCGAGGTCAGACATAATGTACTTCTAGAATCATATGGCTGCAAATTAAAAACGGAAATTTTAAAGAGCAGCTGTTTGAAGTATTTGTCTTTGTATATAAATGCATGCCAATCACAGTGACCACGTGGACTAAGGTATGAACTGTCTTTGTCCTCTCTAACACTGGGATTGTGAGTTCAAATCCTACTTGAGAAATGGATGCCTGTGTGCATTTATTCTGCTTGTGTTGTTCTTTGTGTAGGTAGAGGCCTTGCAACAGGCTGGTCCCCCATCCAAGGAGTCCTACTGACTGTGTATTAGTTCAAGAAACTGATAAAGTGGCCAAGGTCCAACAAAAGGCCGTAGATCTATAGATAGATATAAATGCATGTATAATGGCTAAAGAATGTAACTGACATCTAGTTGAAGGAGAGGAACCATAGATGTAGCCGTATTATGCTCGTAAAACCAATTTCTGCTCCCACATAGCAGGATGAGATCTTTCTTTCAGTTCTGTTATTTTAGGAATGTGATGAGTTATTGCTATGCAGCCAAAACAAGGACACTTCTGTCGTGTGGTCGGCATGTTATTTTGATTTTATGAAATTCTGACAGTCTTCAAAGTTCTGGTATCTTTCAGAACAGTTTCATTTACACTGATATTGGTCCTACATTATAAGTTCATACATCTGTCATATTAATGTTGTTGAGGGCAGAAAGTTAATAAATGCTGAAGAACAAACCAAGCATGGAACAATTACAAGCAGACAGCAGGCTAAGTGTGTGACTTTTTCCCCCAAAATGTTGCCTTGCCATCTCCTGCTGGTTTGTTGCTTGGCCTACTCTTCAGCCCTGAAGTTAGGGGTAAACTGTGAGGCTGTCTCCAAACTACACAGTGTTAAAATATCTAAGAATGTACTTTTTCATAGTCTTTACTATGAGAACCTAAGATGCAGATCAGTGAATGTCCCTCAGATAGTTGTGATAGAATCTGGAAACAGACATTGTTAATGTTCTAGAGAAGGAACAGGTTCCTTTGGCACCTTATAGATGTCATGTTTTTGTCATTGCTTTTAATATTGTTTGTCTTTTGTAATCCAAATAGACATGGGGAGTGCTAAGCCCTACTTCCATCATGACACTTCGTCAGATCATCTCGGGATGATGGGGCATCAGACAAGTGACGAGGGCAGCTCTGGTGCTGAGAACATGTCTTCCACCCCGTGTGCTGAGGACAAGGATGGTGTAGATGGTGGTGTGTTAAAATCTCCGTCTTCTGATGATTTTAATCAGGATAATTCAATGAGCAGTCATGCATTCAGAAGTATCCAGGAATCAAACATCAGTAACAAGTCATCATATGACAGTCACATGGGAGATGACATGCTACATGATTCAGGAGCTGGCATGGGTATGGCATACGGGAACCACGCAGATCAAGGAATTCAGGAACCAAATATAAATAGTTCATATGGAAGACAGATGGGACAAGATACTCGTGACCCACCCGTCACTGCGAATCGTTCTTTCAGGAGACAGATGGATCAAGGTTTGCAGGGAGCAGGTAATGTTGGTCATCCATTTGCCAGACAGCCGGACCAAAGAGTGCAGGAGACTTCCGCAAATTTAAGTCGCGGATATGGAAGGCAGGTTGACCAAGGTGTGCACGATGCGTCCACCATGAGTCACAGGTACGGGAGACACATGGAGCAGGGTTACCATGACGCATCAGCCGGCGCTAACCACGGGTTTGGGAGACAGCTAGATCAGGGCATTCAAGAGACAGGTGGTATAAACCGTTCATTTGGTAGGCAGAACCTTGAAGGGATTACATACAATCAGCAGAGCCAGGCAAGAAGCTATGATGAACATAAAGATGCAAACTTCAATCGATCTGATTCATCCTCTGGCGGGAGGTACGGTCAGACGGATACTGAAAGTGGGAGTAACAGGAACTTCCATGGAACATATGAGGACAGTTGGCAGCAAGGTCAGGTCTTCCGAGGAATGTCGAGGGTCAGTGACGGCACCCACGGACATGGCGGTGGTATGGCTGATAGCAGAAGTTATCATCAGCCATTTAAAAGTAGTTCACATGGAGTGGAGAAGCATTCCTTGCCAGACAACAGTACCAGAGAACAGCAGCGGAACAATTTCCCTGACTACAGCCAAAGGCAACAGCTGCAAGAACCAGAATCGCCTACATTCCAAACAGAAGTCACTGACTCCGCAACAGGTGGAAATGATAGCGGTGTAGAGATTCTTCCATTACCTACATCAACCTTCACACCCGTGAGTAAAGAACCACTGCCACAGCAATCAACAAATCGTAGCGCTCCTCAAGGAAAAACTACGTCTTTAAAGAACTATAGGCATAACTCCTTCAGTGCACAGCTTCATAGCAGGGAAGTAGAATCTAGTACCAGCAGTGATAATACCACTGCCCCCATAACAAGAACTCTGCAGGAGAAACCTCTGTCTGGAGACCATTATATGAAGTCTTCACAGCAGACCTCATATCCTACTGATATAAAATCTCCATCAGGTTTTCAGCAGAGTAATGAAGACCTTAAAGTTTCTAACCAGAACCTGACAGTGTCAGGTTATCCACAGGGTGGAAATGTGGGTTCAGTTTTCCTAGGAACTGGTAATCCCAGTGTAGGTCAGCACACATTACCTAGTTCTAAAACTCATCAGAAAAATGCTCCAAATATTGGAAGATTCAATAGCGAAGTGAGTTCCGGTGGTAATTTCAGTGCTGGTGGTATGCCTTCAGCAGTATCAATAAAATCAAAACGTGGAAACAGCAGGAGTGAACAGCAGCATTACGAATTTGAATCGAGTGACACCACTTCTGATGCAGGTAGAATCAATGCTCAGCAGCAACCACATGGCAAACGTGCAGGCAGAAATCAGATGTATCCATTGCAACCTCAAGCATACCATGCTCACACTTCCCCACAGCAAGCCCAGTCTCAGACGCCACCAGCCAGTAATCCTGCGAGCATTGCTACCACTTCAGTATCAAAGAAAGGGCGAGGAAACAAGAATACATCATCTGATAGGTCTCCCAGTTACTCAGCTGCAGCAAGTAACACTGAAAGTGACTTGCATCGCAATGCAGATGGCAGTAGCTCTAAAAATCAGCCACAACAACCATCTCCTCAAAATGTTCCAGTTCAAATGCAACAGTCTGCCCCAGTTTTCCCACCAAATCCACAGTATCCAGCTTCAGATGGCAGTTCTAGCAGTCCAGTCTACGGACACCAGCAGTACTATCCCACACCTGGTTATTATGGAGGCTTTGGTGGGCCGCAGCAGCCTCCCGTCGCTTTTGGTGGCAATCCATACTATTCTGGCGAGAGTCAGTATGGAGCTGGACGAGGTGCGCATTTGGACCAGTCGGTACCTCCAGTAAACAAAGACATTCACAAGGGAAACCAATCCCAAGCCGGAACTTCACCAACGCAGCCGCAGCAGCAGTCAGTGCAGCCTCTGCCTCAGTCCACAACCCCAGCAAAAACACAGCAAACTCCTTCAGGTGTGTTACAGTTAAATTAATTTTACAGGATATATTTGTCTTTAAAACTTGCTGTAAGCTTGTTTTCCTACTAAAATGTCTTAACAAGACCACGCAGAAGGTGGAACTTGTAGAAGTCAGAACAGGTCATTGGCCTAATCTCAGAGGAAAAGAGGAAAGGGAAGAATTCCGGATAATTTTTGATTTGGGTATCAAGCCAGATTGTGCGTTCCAACATTTCAGTTGCTGTCATTAGCATAGAAAGGTCTCGGGCACATAATCAACTTTCCAGAGGAATTCACTGCTTCCATCTTCAGCGTGGGAGTGTTAGACTGTTTTGAAGATCAGTGCAACAGGTTCCTGCAAAACATCGGTACCCATCTACCGAACTCTATGGCATCTTGTCTCAGAAGACCATATTTAGAAAAAAATTATAATTTTTCAGTCTCCACCAGTCCCCTACCTCCTGAGAGAAGTAAATGCAGTTGTTCTTGTTTATTTTGATTCTTTTTATTTTTCCACGAGCCTTTACATACTGCATTCAAGACATCTTCATTTAGTGGCACTGGCCTCCTGATCTAGATTCATTTCATATGAGAGTAGCTTAATAAAAAACGTATATTGGCTTCTCACAGCAGTTATTTGTAGCCTTTCAGTAGTAAGGTTTATGGAAATGTAGAGAACAGAAATCTTTATATATATATAAAGGAGTTTTGGGTACATGTGCATTTCAGGTACTTTAATCTATGATCTGAGGCCCACATGCATTATACATATTTATTCACTTCTGTATAAAATTCTTGTCAGTACTGATTCACATTTGTGTTATGTTTCTGCAGGTTAAATATCAGCATTTTGCACAGTTGTATATAATTAAGAAAATTATGTAAAATCCTGGGTTATTATTCATAATAACCAGATTATTCACTTCAGTCACTCTTATGATTCTTCACTTGCCGGACTCCTGTGTTTCACCAGTTAACTGCCATCAAATCAAAAATTAAATATATATTTTATGCAGATGCCGTAGTCTCTTTTTCATTCTACAAAAAAAAATGTTGCCATAATCGTTACATGTTTAAGACCTGTTACCACAGAAGATTTCAAGGTTATGTACTACCGCACTAGTAATGCTGTTGTTGTCACACCCACTTAATAAGATCACATGATTTGATTGTAGGACGTTAAAAATGTATAACGATATTGATAAGCTTTATGTTTGATTGTCACTTGTTTCGTATGTTATTGGGGAGGGGAGGATTAGCATGCGGGCATGGCAACATTACCCTATCTTTCCGTATAAAATTAGCTTATAGAAAGTCTGTACCAAAGTACACAGTGTTTTCATGTGCATACTTTGTATCTTTGCTCTCTTAATTTGCATTTGACTGTCTGTGCATTTCTAGAAGCTCTATGAGTATAAAGTTGATTGTACTTTGGTCGTATTGGTTCAAGTCATTACTGTGGTTACCATGGTTACTGCATTTCAATGGAGCACACAGTATCATATGTGGTTGAGGCACCATGCTACAAGTCGGAAGGTCATGGGCTCGATTCTTGATGAGGTTACTGGATTTTTCAGTTGACCCAATCCTTCCAGCCACACACACTATGGCCCTGAGGTTCACTCAGCCTCTGACAGAAATGAGTACCGGGGGGGGGGGGGGGCAAAGGGTGGCCAGTGCGTAAGGTTAGCAACCTTACCACCATCTGTGAGGTGATTGTGTAGAAAAATGTGGGATCTTCAATATCTCACAACCCTATGGATCTCCATGGCCTGTTACAGGGATAGCTTTACCTTTTTTTTTCCCCTGCATTTCAATATTTCTGCTAGTGTTGCTCCAACCTCACAAGTTTACGCATCCACTACATTACTATTACCAATTATAAGAAATTAAAAAGCAATAATTTGTGGTGGCAATCCAGTGGTTTAAAATGCATATCAAAATTTTTCAAAACCTATACCACAGTTCTTGAGTTGAAATATAGGGATGTCTGGACAGAAGGATGGATGTACAGATATGACCATCATTATATGCATTCTTTTCTTGCATATTGTTTGAAGAAGGAACAGTAAGAAAATCTGCCATATTTCAGCATAGAAAGGGTTAAAAATCCTATGAATTATGCTGACCAAAATTGAACTTGTGTTTCATGGTAACATAGTACACCAGGAAATTGAGGCTGCACCCATAATGAGAATTGTGTATTTGCAGGGATTGGCTCCCAGAAGAAGGAGCAGTCAAGCCAACTTGGCAACAGTACTGCAGCATCAGATTCACCAACCAAAGTTGGTGCCACTGCTACCAACCCATCTACGCCCACAACTACAAGGGACATGACAAGTCCGAGCAGTGCTAGTGGTGGATCTCGTAGTGGTAACAACAGTGCTCGTTCTACTCCAGCCACTGTTGCCAACACAAACATTTCACAGGAGCCTAACTCACCTCAGCTTCATTTTAATACTCCGACAACATCGGCCAGCTCTACGTCACTGGAAAATAGGTCACCTGTCCAGTATAATTCATCCATGACCACAAATCCAGCACCGCTTGACCCTAAATCACCACTTCAGTACAATTCTAGCGTAACTAGCGGGAACTCTTCTTCATCAGCAGCGCCGTCACATCAGTACAATTCTAGTGCAACTGGCGTGAACTCATCTGCATCAACAGCATCGTCCCTTGACTACAATAGCAGTGCCACATCATCTAATTTCACTGCTGGCACAGGAAGCACACCACAAGGTGGAATAATACCACCCCCACCACACCAAAGTCCCTATGAGCCAATGATGTTGGGAGGATATCCAGCTGGTGCCCCTGGAACTGGTTACGCAGCTCCGCCCCCACCACCAGGAATGGGTTACGGAAGCTACAGTAACCCTGCAAATCAATATGAGGCAGATTATGCTAGGGCATCCATGTACAGTGCATTCCATAGACCAGATCCACATCCCCATCCATTTGCCCCTGGTCACCCCCCAGGGTTTCTGCCATCGCCTCAAAGCACAAATTACTACCCCCAGAACATGTATGCTCCAACTCCGTATGGCACTCCCGATCCAGCATATTACAGCAACCCTTTCCTTAATGCAATGCATCAACATCCGTACCCAACTCTGCCGGGAGCAGCACAAAACCCAGGGTCTCATCCGCAGTGAGCAATGTCAACAGTTTGACAACGCAGGTGAGATTTTTATGCATAAGCATTTGAAGCAAGCGTGTAAGACGGAACTTTGTAAACTGAACGGCGTTTTTGCTAGAGATGTGTGAGTTGCATGAAGTATGCTGGAATACTTATTTTCTATTGGCTCTCTTAGGCTGTGGAATTTTTCACTGTTAGGATTGTGTATAACATTCAGTTACTTCGGAAAGTGTAAATTATTTCATGATGCTGTAGTAAATCATTATGCTTTCCTGTTTTTTGTGTAATAACTGAGAAGAGTTCTGTGCTATGGTAAGTTGAATTGGAGTGCAATATTTATTTTAAAGTGTTCCTATGAACTTATTTTCAGTAATTTTCTTACTAGTTTGAAATGTAGCCTCATTGTAAACTCGTGAGTCGAGTTAGTTGCAGCAGTTCAAAGAATCAAGGGAACAGATTTTCCTGACACTTTCAGTAAGTACAAAGCCAAATCCTAGGGCAAGCAAGGCATGATATATAAGTTTTGTGTTGTATTTAGTTTGCAGATGGACAGGAAGTTGTCTGCTTACGGGGCATTTACAGATTGTGATTTTTATGTGGAATATTAACTTTATTAAAGTGTTTGGTTTCTAACTGAAAACTCACACATCCCTAAGTACTGCAAAGCATTATATTAGTTTGCCTATTACACACCATTTGATTTTAAACGTGTTTATGACGTCTTGAATATCATGTAGCATATATTTTAGTAGGTACATAAATTATTGAGCTCACTGTATCACGTCACTACTTCACTCTCTCAACTATGAAGTTCTTCCTGCAATTGCATTGTGATATTGCTTTTTTGCAGTTCCTTTCACATTTATTAGAATCATGAAATGAAATTGATCTCATTGAAATAGTGTGGTATAATTCATGAACATAGCTATGAAACATTTGGTGGTCATTACTGTGTGTTCGCATTGATGTGCTGCTTGTTTATTCATATGTGGTTTTCATTCAAACTTGTGCATAACTTTGCATCTTGACCTGATTGTGCATAGGCTGTTTCCCATAGGTAGAAAGTAAAGTTGTTCCTGTACTTAATTAAGCACCACTCTGTGAAGACACATGGAAGAGGAGAGGTATAGCTTCACAATCCTGCTGCTTTACCCTGGGAGAAGGAGCCTTCACTGTGCATGGGATGGGAGGCTTGGTGAACCCCAGAGCTGGTTTAGAGGCTGTAGATAGGAGAACAAGAAGTTCTGGGAAGAACTAATCACCTACCTTCCTTTGATGTGATGCAGATCGTATAAAAGCGACATGTCCAACAATTCTTCTATTGTGTGTGTATTCAGTGCTGTGGCAATGTTTTTACTGAGCCATTGCCTAACAGTGATAGGGGAATAGACATGCAGGCTCACAGACTGATTGGAGGAATTTATGAAGTGTGCTGTTGGGATGGGCTCAGGTGCCTTGATATACATACCAAGTTTCATAAAGATTGGTTCAGGCATTCAGAAGTTCATAGCCTACGTCAGTTTTTTTTTTTTAACGATAGGTTAAAGTAGGTTAAAAGTTGGTGGAGTTATGATTTTTCTGACAGTGACTATGAACTGTACCATCTTCTGGGACCGAACTGTTGTTAAATTTCCACACATTGTCACATCCCAGGAGGTAGTACTCGTTGACAGAACTATTGATTGCCCCCTGCTGGGAATCGAAGCCAGCCTGGCTGGTTTTCTGAAGAGCAGATAATATAAAAACTACAAATGTCATATGTGAGATTACAGAATGAGGCAAGCATTGAGTTTTTGGCCATTAATCGCACATATGCATCTATATGTCTTTTGAGTAGGGGAGTGTACTGTGTTAACACCAGTTTTTCAGGAAACAGTCTGAAGTTTAAATGTGACATAGAAAAAAACGCATTCGGAAACCATACACTTGTGAGTAACATAACATAGGGAAGTATGTCAAGATAGTATAATACAATAAGGATAATCATAAATGGGCATTACCTCATTTTTGCCCAGAAGTGGAGGTTGGAATACTGTGATGGTCAAGCGATGAAATGATGTATCTTGTGTGAGTAATTTTTCATCACACATATATAAATCAACAGCATATAGACATCTGTAAAATGTTGAGGTGGGCAGGATTATACTTCACTTTGTCTTAGCCTGCAATGTTAGTACATGTTAGTACAATGTTATTTCATTCTTCCCAGCACAGTTCTTTTGCCTGTTCTTGAGAGGGTTACTGCAGTAAGTGTAATCATATTGGAGTTCTGTGTTTTGTTGGTGCTGCCTGCTTCAGTTATCTGTTCCAGTACACACTTCAATATGGGCCCAGTTTTTTTTATGTTAAGAGTACCATCTTCTTGGATGTGATGCCATGCAGTCTGGTAGACATCTATTGATGATTCGGAGGAACATATACCTAAGTTGATTGCTTGGCTTACTCTTCATCCCTGAAGATATAGACAATATGTTCCTACCGCATGTCATCGTATTCCAGACAGTGCTTCTCTTCATTGTCGTGAGAACCTGAGATTGTGCCTTCTTTTCTTTGTTTTCTTGTGCTTGAGAGGTCAGTACCACGTCCATCATTATTGAATGGTCTACCCAGGCTTGCGACTTCATCTCTGATTGATCACTGATTTGTCACAGAGTAAGGCAGTATTTAAATATAATACATTGTACTTCTCAGAATAGCACAGTCGGTATAGAGACTGGCTACAGGCTAGGTGACCAAAGAGTTGGAGTTTGAGTCTGGTGGGGGCAAGAATTTTCACTTCTCCATGTCATCCAGACCAGTTCTGGGGTGCACCCAACCTCATATCCAATGGGTACTATGGGCTCTTTCTCTCGGGGAGGGGGTAAAGTGGCAGGGGCATGAAGCTGAGCACTCTAACTAATGCCAAGGCCAAGAATGTGGATCTATACATCCACTTCCCCACACACCTTCATGGTGTAGTGCTTAATTAGCTAAGTGCACGGACAACTTTGCTTTGCATTGTAATTCTTTTGAGTTTGGGGACTGGGGTTCTCAGAGAAAGGTGAGACAGTAGAGGTCAGCCTTCCCCTTCTGACCACTATGTGGAAGGATCCTCATTGAGGTTTACCGTACAAGTAAATCATTGTCATGGTTTCTGGGTGAATTCAAATTCAAACAACAGTGAGGCCATGCAGTACAGTAGTGACCACTGATCTTGAAGTGGTCATAATTTCGCTGCATATTTAATTTGTAACAAGGCTAAGGCCAGTGACAAACACAGCTAAATGGGACAGTATTGAAACAGAAGATCCAAGATACATTAACCAGACTGTATGGTAGGGTAGTCAGTGAAATAAGAAGCGAGGGGTGAACAGAACAGATAAGGAACCGAAGATACATTTAAAATTAACACCGTGAGATGCAGTCAGGATTGCATTCAAGTTACCTGTCTGACCCACATGCTGGTCTACGTCATCAGGGTCAGCGGTTACTGCGTGCCACAGAGCAGGTTACTTGATTGAAAGTCGAGCCTTTAGTGAAGTCTCAGTGCATTGCATTGCATTTCCAAATGTGGCCGGCAGGAGAACGTATGGGTTGGAGTAGTGGGGGCCAGAGTGTACAGGAAGGTAACTACAGGCTGGGTCACAAATGAAAATAACTGAACTAGCAACGCGCAGCTGAACCTGAACTCTATACTTTCTCTTCTCTGTTCGAGTTTTAAAATGCTTGCAGTGTTATTGGTCACTGCTTCTGTTCTGTGTAACAAGCCTGCAACTGGGACATTGTAACACAGAGCTGGATGGCTACAGAAACAGGGTTTGATTCCTGATGGGGTTGGAGATTTTTCTCTTTGCCACTGTTTGTGGACCAGCCCTGGGGTCCATCCAGTGGTTACTAGGGACTCCTTCCTCAGGGTTAATGTGGTTGAGTGGTACAGTGTGCCACCTCCATCTAGTGCTGAAGGACAAAACAGACTGTAGTTATACCTCCACTACTCCCCCATACATCATTTGTGGTGTGGTGCCTAATTAAGCACAGGCCACCTATTGCTCAATGTGAACGTGCATACAGAGTGATCAGCATGAGAATCGCTGTGAAGAGATGGACATGAGATATTGTGATTACTTTTAAAATAATTGATACGTCAGTTTGTTGGAATACAGCCTGTGTTACAAATTATTTTGAAGTGTCATACTCATACTACAGAGTACTCATTTCTAGTTGTTTTGAAGATTACTGTCCCATGGAAAGTGGCACCATGTAGTCTGGTAAAAAGTGCCCAACATTTCAGAGGAACATGCTGGCTTGATCTTTGGGCTAGGAGAGTAAAGCCAAGCAAGAAAATGGCAGAAGCAGGCAGTTAGGTGACTGCCTGCTTTTCCTGGCTTCTTGCATGGTTTTACTTTTTGTCCCTGAAGATGGAGGCGACATGTTCCTCCTGAGTGTTGGGCCGTCTGCCATGGCATTACAACCCAATAGACATACTCTTCCTAGTCATTGCTGTGAGAACATCAGAGCCATTCTCTGGTAAAATCTTAACGGCATAGTAATGACTTGTCACAATGACATGTCTGTCCAGCTCACCTTGTTTGTACTTTAAATACGTAAAATTTATACTTTTAAATGTCACTTTAAACCACTTCAGTGATTCGTTAATCACAGGCTAAATGTCAACTTCCATTTGAGTGTGGTGATTGAGGCTGTTGTACAGACGTACCAAAATATGATCGTGTGAAGTGCCATCGGTTCAGAGCCGTATAGAATGTTAATGCAGCATTTTGTGTTGTCTGATGTGTTAAGACATAAAGGGGACACAGATCAAGTAATGTATGTTTAGTCTGTAATGGCAGTGAACTGTGGCTTGAACCTCTACCAGAGAGGAAATTTGTGTAAAAGCGTCTGAAGACACTAAATTAAGGTACTGCACTGAACTAGGTGCAGCGCATTTTGTGTAGTGCAGTTTAGGGGGGAAGCACATTGAATACGGACCGAACTGTGACTGTGTTGTGTACAGCCAGGGAAAAGGAAAGTGAGAGAGGAGCATATAAGATAGTACAAACAAT